ATAGTAACTTTGAGGACCAGTCCTAAGTCACTTTTTTCAGCACCATAATACCAAACTGTTGTTAAACGGATGGTCATAAGTCAAGGACCACCTATACAGAGGCAGAAAAGATCCTATTCCGATCCCTACCTTGAAGCGAAATAGTGTCAGTTCCTGGGGATGTTCAGCTGAGACAATTGCCTCTTCTTTTTTGACCTCTGCCGGTCTTTCTTCGTTGTTTTTATTTTGGGGTTCTGGATAGCCTGAGTCAGGAAGAGGTCTCAATGGTGCTTTGGAAAGGATCTTGGTTTCTATGAGCTGCCTCCGTTCTTCCTGACTACCATCCCACACTTTTCCAGTGATGACACTTGAAATACCCTCAGCCAACTGTTGCTCGTTGATAGAGAATTCCAAAGAACTGATGGCATCTTGCCTTGGCTCTTCTTCATTTTGGGATCGGAGGTCAAGCAAGAGATCCCCCCTAGATTCAGACGGATGGACCCGCTCATTCTGAAAAGCTGAACTTCTCAGATCTTCGCTCCAGATCTCCTGGGGATGTCTCATGAAGGAAAAGCTTTCCTGAAAGTTCAGAAGAAACACCAGTTACCTTTGCCATAAACAGTACAACTACTCCTCGATTTATGAGATTAAAAAGAGCCGAGGTGGCACAGTGGTTAGAGTGCAGTACTGCAGGCTATTTCAGCTGACTGCTAGCTGCAGTTCAGCAGATCGAATCTCACCAGGCTCAAGGTTGACTCAGCCTTCCATCCTTAAAATGAGGATCCAGGTTGTTGGGGGCCGATAGGCTGACTCTGTAAACCGCTTAGAGAGGGCTGTGAAGCACTGTGAAGTGGTAGATGAGTCTAAGTGCTATTACTATTAAGCAGGACCAGAATCTCCTTGGCTAAAGCAAGGCGAGTAAGTGACTCACACCCGATTGCGCAACCTTGGTTGTTAAGTGAATCCTTGAAGTGTTAAAGTGAATTGTGCAGTTGTTGAGCCAATCCGGCTTCCTCCATTGACTTTGCTTGCCTGAAAGCCGGCTGGGAAGGTCACAAACAGAATGTGTCAACCTGCAAAACAACTTCAACTGAAGCCGTGCTTACTTCTGCTTCGTTTTTTGGGTTGCCATTCAAGGGTGGGAGAAGGAAGGAATTTAGGAATGTGGTGCCTCAGATGGCTAGTCGTAACATCTACCCGCCGGCGTGTGAACCAAGGTAATGTCAACGGACACCTATTGAAGTGGGGGAGGGGGGGGAGCCTACAGCTGGACTGATTGGCCAATGTGACCTGAGAGACCTGGGGTGGGGTGGGGAAATCCTATTCTTTTAACTATTCCTATGTGCAGGAATAATTTAGAGCTAGCTTCACGTTTCTAAGTGCCAATATGATGTACTCAATAAAGGGTTTCTTGAACCTGAATGAAGTGTCAGAGCCCTGACTTCCTGGAGTTCATTACTTGGAACGATGATGTGGCAATCATGTGACTCTGGGAGGCTGCAACCGTCATACATACATGACAGTTGCCAAGCGCCTGAATTTTGATCCTGTGACCGCGGTAATGTTGCGATGGACATACAGTAAATGTGAGGGCTGGTGGTAAATCGCTTTTGTTTGATACCGTTTAATTTCAAATGGTTGTAAATTGAGGACTACCTGTAACATGCCTTTGAAAAACGTAACAGGTTGAGGCAAAAACTTTGTGCCCGATCGTTGTATGTATGTATGTGTGTGTGTGTGTGTCTCAGTTGCAGTGTATGGGTGTGAAAGTTGGACCACAAGGAAGGTCGAGCGCCAAAGAATTGAGGCCTTTGAACTCTGGTGCTGGAGAAGACTCCTGCGAGTCCCTTGGACTGTAAGGCGATCCAACCGGTCAATCCTAGAGGAGATCAACCCTGACTGCTCTTTAGAAGGCCAGATCTTGAAGAGGAAACTCAAATATTTTGGCCACCTAATGAGAAGGAAGGACTCCCTGGAGAAGAGCCGAATGCTGGGAACGATTGAGGGCAAAAGAAGAAGGGGATGGCAGAGAACGAGGTGGCTGGATGGAGTCACTGAAGCAGTCGGCGTGAGCTTAAATGGACTCCAGAGGATGGTAGAGGACAGGAAGGCCTGGAGGAACGTTGTCCATGGGGTCTTGATGGGTCGGACATGACTTCACTATGCCACATGCAGTGACAATGCTTGTACAACAACTTAATTGGGTAAGTTAAAGATCTACCAGCTGCATTTGCACAGTATGTAATGCTTGGGTGCTGTTACCCTTGGTTACTTTTGTCGTTGTGATTAGCGCATTGTGCAAAACCAGCCCATTTGTTAGTTTGTGTCTCAGTGTTCTGTGCTTATCTAGAAAATGATCAAACATAGTAAGTAGAGCAAGTTTTGAAACTGCAGCCAAGGAATTTTGTACAAAACTTCAGTCAGGGGAGTTCAAACTCAAAAAAGCTCTCTTATTTAAGGCTTTAACAACTTCCTGGTTTGCCCCAAACTAAGCCGTATTCATTCTAGGTTTAAATACAACCAGACAGAATAAATAGATAATTAGAATCAGTGACCTGCAAGTATGATTCTTCCTGTGGAAAATCTTCTAATTCTTCCGTCAGGTCAGGAATCAAGTTGGACTGATCTCGTTGGAAGAGAAAAAGCTCTCCATCTTCATCACTATCATCCTGTCATGTAAGAAGTAGAAACTGGATGAAATTTGTTAAAAGGCAACAATAGAAAATGACACTGACAGCTGCCTATTGTTTCATTTGGGGACATCATAAATCTCAGCATAAAATTGCAGACGTCAACTCATTTACTTGGAAGAGGTAGTAGAACATAAACATAAAATCATAGAGTTGGAAGGGACCTTGGAGGTCTTCTAGTCCAACCGCCTACTCAGCAGGAGACCATATAGTGGGATGTCCAACCTTGGCAACTTTTAAGAGCTGTGGATTTCAACTCCCAGAATTCTCCAGCCAGCCATGGGAAATTGTGGGCTTTGAAGTCCACAAGTCTTAAAAGTTGCCAAGGTAGGACACCATTGCCCTATATCATTCCAGATAAATGGCTGCCTAGTCTCTTCTTGAAAACGTCCGGTGATGGAGCACCCACAATTTCCGGAGTTAAACCACAATCTCAGCATCTATAGCATTCCACTAGAAAGGACCTTTACAAATAAAACAGGACTGTACAAATCACAGCAGAGAATACAGTGCTGTTTAACCACATTATTTTTTTTAAAAAGAAATATTTTTATGGATGTATGCCCCTGGGACAAAACATTAAACTTTTACAATACAGGGCCTCAATTTGAGTTTCTATGAGTATGATAGCCTGCCTTGCAGAGAAAGGCAGCTGCTTCATCTGTGAACGAATGAAAGAATAAATGAATGAGCTGGAAGGGACCTTGGAGGTCTTCTAGTCCAGCCCCCTGCTCAAGCAGGAGAACCTATACTATTTCAGATAAGAGACTGTCTAGTCTCTTCTTAAAAATATCTAATTCCCCTCGCTTTTGTCTTGGAACGGGGAACACAATCTTGAAAAATGCTTCGCTAATCATTCTGCAAAACTTCACCTCTTGGATGAATAAATTCCTCCGACCTGATCAGAGTCACTTAAGTGAGATGGGAAGTGGAGAAATTTGATAAGTGCATTAATACAAACAAGTGAAACCAAACAGAAGTGGGATTACCAGGGATACATCAGAGTCCATCGAAGGAATCTGATCTCTTACTGCAGACAGGAGGGATCCCCACCGGAAAGGAGTGCCATGAAAATCAGGGGGACCCCCCGTTTCCTGGTTTCCGTCCCCTGATGCCATCTGAAAAGGAACCGGGCTTCTCGGTGAGAAAGGATTCAATGCATGGCACAAAAGGCACAAAGGAAAAACTGAAAAAAAAAAAATCAACATCCATCCAAATGGAGAATTTGTTATGTTTGATACAGGGGATTCTATAGGGTTCTTTGGCCAGTCTTGACCCTTGACCCTCAAGGACCACACAGGCAATTTGTTTCAGCTGCATCAATTAAATATTTCTTTCAGTTCCATCAATTAAATATTTCTTTCAGTTACGTGAATTAAATATTTCTTTCAGTCACGTGAATTAAATATTTCTTTCAGTCACGTGAATTAAATATTTCTTTCAGTCACGTGAATTAAGTATTTCTTTCCATTACATCATTTAAATATTTCTTTGTTATGTGAATTAAATATCTTTCAATTCCATCAATTAAATATTTCTTTCAGTCACATGAATTAAGAATTTCTTTCAATTACATCATTTAAATATTTCCTTCAGTTACATCACTTAAAAGGGGGAAGAAAACAGTTGGAACCAATGAAGCAGGAATGAGATACAGGGAGGAAGAGAGACTGGTCACTATGGCAACTGTCTATCAATTAGCCCCGCCTCCTAGCAACGGGGCCAGCTTTCGGTGCGTCCATAGCAACCAGAGGCGGCAGTCTCTGTCCGGTTGAATACCGCTTCGGTGTTAGGCCACCGGCATAGCCCAGCCGCTCTCACGACCCCTTCCTCGCCACAGGGGAGGAACCGCACAACGTCCGCGAACCGCAACCGCCGCTAACTCCGAACCGCATTTCAAACGGCGTGCGTTTCCCGGTTTTGGCTCCACCCACCGGGAGGTCCTGGCAGGACAGCAACATCCATTTAGCGTGGCCTCCCTTTCCTGCTTGGAAATAAAGAGCCAATAAAAAATTAAGTGCTTGATAGGGAGTTGGGTCCAGGCGAGGAAGGACAACCCTCTGTTTTTTCTTTCTTCTCCTCCTCGTTTCATTAAACGGTCGTTTTTCCTGTCATCTTTCCAGACCTGGCGAGACTCAAGACAGAGGTTGTTTTCTCTCCCCCGCTCTGCTTTTCGTAGGGCGTTCATTGGCTGACTCGGCTCGGGAGGCGGGGGGGTAGCGCGAGCCCAGCTTCTCATTGGTTGGTTGGGCCCCGGCGACGGATAACGGACGTAACGGAGGACGAGTAGCCAGAAGAAGGAGGCGGGAAAAGAGAAGTGAGGTCAGAAGGGCGGGGACGAGAGCGAGCGAGGCCTGCAGACCCGGCTGACAGTCTTGGTTTCGTTACCGCTCGTTCGCCGGAGAGCCGGGTAGGTGAAGCGCGTACGGTGGCCGCGAGGGGAAAAACTGCGCTACCCGAGAGTCCGTCCCACACACAAGGCCTGGCCGCGTTTTGGCGGGGCCGCTTGAGAAACAAATGGGCGTTTGTGCCCGGTGTCACAGGAGTTGGTTAGAATAGTTAGTATAGAATAGGAATAGGAATAGGAATAGGAATAGGAATAGGAATAGGAATAGGAAAGAATAGAACAGAACAGTTGGAAGGGACCTTGGAGGTCATCTAGTCCAACCCCCTGCTTAGGCAGGAAACCCTCCACCACTTCAGACAAATGGTTATCCAACCTCTTCTTAAAATTCTCCAGTATTGGCGCATTCACAACTTCTGGTGGCAAGCTGTTCCATTGGCTAATCGTCAGGAATTTCCTCCTTAGTTCTAGGTTGCTTCTCTCCTTGCTTAGTTTCCACCCATTGCTTCTTGTCCTGCCCTCAGGTGCTTTGGAGAATAGCTTGACTCCCTCTTCTTTGTGGCAACCATTTAGATATGAGCCAGACGTGTGCAGCAGCTGCCAAAAAAGCCAACACAGTTCTGGGCTGCATAAACAGAGAGATAGAATCAAGATCACATGAAATCTTAATACCACTTTATAAGGTCTTGGTGAGGCCACACTTGGAATTTTGGTCGCCACGATGTAAAAAAGATGTGGAGACACTAGAAAGAGTGCAGAGAAGAGCAACAAAGAGGATTAGGGGACTGGAGGCTAAAACATATGAAGAACGGTTGCAGGAACTGGGTGTGTCTAGTTTAATGAAAAGAAGGACATGGGGAGACATGATGGCAGTCTTCCAATATCTCAGGGCCTGCCATAAAGAAGAGGGAGTCAAGCGATTCTCCAGAGCCCTGAGGGTAAGATAAGAAGCAATGGGTGGAAACTCATCAAGGAGAGAAGCAACAGAGAACTAAGGAGAAATTTCCTGACAATTAGAACAATTCATCACTGGAACAAGTTGCCTCCAGAAGTTCTGAATGCTCCAACACTGGAAGTTTTTAAGAAGAGGTTGGATAACCATTTGTCTGAAGTGGTGTAGGGTTTCCTGTCTAAGGAGGGGTTTGGACTAGAAGACCTCCAAGGTCCCTTCCAACTCTTCTATTCTATTCTATTCTATTCTATTCTATTCTATTCTATTCTATTCTATTCTATTCTATTCTACTTGTAACATTATAATAAATATTGAATGTGGAATAACAGTACTACTGTTTTGTCTGGATTAATTTCACCCCTGTGATTGTTGGCACCTGGATTAATTTCAGCCCCGCGATCGTTAGCGCCCTGCTATCGCATTTCCAGTAGATCGGCAAAATTAAAGAATTCAAGGAACTTCTAAGCTTCTGAGGGCAGAATGTCAGAACTGAGCGACGAAGCCAGTGAGACGGAGCTCTTGAATCGCAGCCTAACCATGTGGCACGGAGAAGGCCAGGCGGCCAACCAACAAGAATTAGACATACCTTTGGACCTTCACACAGCAGCTTCCATAGGCCAGTATGAAGTGGTGAAGGATAGTATTGAACGGTAAGTGGGATGGAGCGTAGTCTGGATTCCCAGGAGGGAGAGGCTGCGTTCCAAAGGAGCAAGAGACAACTTGGTGCAGAGAGTTGGTGTGAGAGAAAGAGGGTGAAGACATGCTTCCCTAATAGTTTCCAGAGTATATGCTTGATGTGGGTGATAGCATGCTTTAGTTCAGCAAGATTCAATCTATAGATGAGAAACAATAAAAAAATCTACTTGGAAGCATCACAACCTGTCTGTTTTGGTTTTTGGAGCCTGACAGTCAGAGAATAGCTAATAGGAACACCCTACTGTCAGTAATTTTATGAAAGTCAATAATTGGGATGGGTTTTTTTTAACATTACAAAATGTTACACATCCAGTCTAAAATGGGAGACTCTATGCTGCCACCTCATTTGCCTGCATTACTCCATTTTGATCATTCAAAATAGCCAGTTTGGTCTAGTGGTTAAGGTATCAGGCTAAAAACTGGGAGAAAATGAATTCTAGTCCCACCTTAGGCTGGGTGATTGTGAGCCAATCACCAGGAAACGCTGAGTTCTAGTCCTGCCTTAGGCATGAAAGCCAGCTGGGTGACTTTGAATCAGTCGCTCTCTCTCAGCCCAACTCAACTCACAAGGTTGTTGTAGGGAAAGAGTATTAAACATGTTTGCCACCTTGAGTTGTTTTTTTAAAAATAATAAAGGCAGGATATAAATAAATGAAATAATTCTGTGCTATGTGTAAATTAGTGGCAGCCCAAAGCATGCCTTCAAGAAAACCAGAGGATATGCTGAGAGTAGCATACAATATTTTACAAACATAAGAAGAGCATTTCCAGGCCCATCTCACCCAAAAGTTTGTTTCCATGGCAACTGATCCCATGTCAAAATTAAGCCGATGTGCACAGTTGGGCCCCTTTCTCTCATCTTCTGCAGCAAGCCATCTTGAGAAGTTTGGTCCCAATGGGCAAAATGAATGCGGTGAAATTAAAAGGATTTTGAAAACACTCGTTTTTAAGCCAGAGAAACTGTTCAAGTTTCTGACCTGAACAACAATGGCTTGCAGTCTTCCACCTTGGGGGAAATCTCACATGCTGTGTACCCTTCCAGAGGGGAGAAGGACTTGGATCAGAAGAACTGCGGTGGTTGGACTCCGCTGATGTACGCCTCCTACATCGGTTATGACACCATTGTGCGCATGCTGCTACAAGCCGGAGCAAACGTGAATATGTCCACCCCAGAAGGACAGACTCCGCTGATGTTGGCAGCCAGCTGTGGGAATGAATGTGCAGCTTCCTTTTTGCTTCAGGTGGGTGAGCTTTAGAACAGCTGTCAAAATATTAAATCAGTCACGCTGTTTAAATAGGGCAAGTGCCACTTCTGGTTAGTTTTTCGTTTTGATATAGCCAGCACAGTTTTAAGAATCAAGGTCAAATGCACTGCACACCAGAACAACTAGACACAAGGACAGTTTTTTCCCCACCTGCCATCACTGCTAAACAACTAATTCCCACAACACTGTCAAACTATTTACTAAGACTGTATTACTGTTACTGTTCTCATCCTTCCTATTAGCCAATCTCTCCTCCTACTAATGACTATAACCTTGTTGCTTTTATCTTTATGATTATATTGTTTTATTTAGTTTCCTAGTATGATTTTGATTGCTTATTTAGTACCCACTAAGTGTTGTATCTTATGATTCTTGATGAATGTATTTTTTATGTATACTGAGAGCTTATGCACCGTTGATCCCCACTGCCCGGAATGGGCAGAAAATGGGGCACGCAGAGGCTGAAAACGGAGGCAGCAATAGGCTATGGCAATCCCTGCAGCCTGAAACAGCTGATCCTCGAATCCATCCGACAGTCAGCTGCTTGTGCTAATCAGGCTGTGCTGAAGCTGAAACGGGCTGTTTGCTGCAAGGAGGCAAATTGTTGGGAGGCAGAGGCAGATTTTTTTTCTTGTTTTCTTCCCCAAAAATGGTAGATGCATCTTATAGTCTGGAGCGTCTAATACACTGAAAAATGCAGTACCTACTTTTCAGGGAGGTGATCCTGGGGATGTATTATAATGAATGTTCCCTTTCTCTGAAGCAAGGTGCAGAGTTGGAGATGAAAGACATCCATGGTTGGACTGCCCTCTTTCATTGCACCAGTGCTGGCCACCAACAGATGGTGAAGTTCTTACTGGACAGTGGAGCCAACGCCAACTGCAGGTAGGAGGAAATGGCTAAATATAATACAGCTCATCCTCAATTTACAACAGTTTCAAACAATTAGTCCCTCTTAATAATTTAAACAATACAGCTTGCATCTACATCTCTTCATCTTCCAGCTGTATTGTTTAGAATAGAATAACAGAGTTGGAAGGGACCTTGGAGGTCTTCTAGTCCAACCCCCTGCTTAGGCAGGAAACCCTACACCACTTCAGACAAATGGTTATCCAACCCATTCTTAAAAACTTCCAGTGTTGGAGCATTCACAACTTCTGGAGGCAACTTGTTCCACTGATGAATTGTTCTAATTGTCAGGAAATTTCTCCTTAGTTCTAGATTGCTTCTCTCCTTGATGAGTTTCTACCCATTGCTTCTTGTCCTGCCCTCAGGTGCTTTGGAGAATAGCTTGACTCCCTCTTCTTTGTGGCAGCCTCTGAGATATCGGAACACATGCTATCATTTAAATACCAACAGTTTGTTTAGTGACCATTCAAAGCTACAACGGCACTGAAAAAAGTGACTTATGACCATTTTTCACCCTTACAACCGTTGTGGCATCCCCGTGGTCACATGATCAAGATTCAGAGGCTTGGCAACCGACTCATAATTTGTGACAGCTGCAGTGTCTTGTGGTCAGTACAATCCCCTTTTGCAACCAACTGACAAGCAAAGTCAGTAGGGAAGCGAGATTCACTTAACAACCATGTTACGTAACATCTGCAGTGATTCACTTAACAAATGTGCCAAGGAAGGTTGTAAAACGGAGCAAAATTCACTTAACAAACGTCTCGCTTAACAACAGAAATGCTGGGCTCCGTTGTGGTTTTAAGTCGAGGACTACGTGTAATTTTAAGGCGTGCAAATCTGACTACCGTAGCCTAAGGCTGCGGCATCTAGAAAGGAACAAGTCTGATCGCTTGATTTATAATCAACTAATCTTGAATATAAATGGCCATGATAGCTGACCTTACAGAACTCCCAACAGCCAGTTTGGGGTACCAGTTAAAGTATTGGGTTAGAAATTGGGAGACCATGAATTCATGGCTCTGGCCTCCCAGAGCCATGAAAATCAGGCGGACGATTTTGGATCAGTCATGCTCTTTCCACGTTACAATCCACGTTACAAAGATGGGAGAGGGGGAAAATAGGAGGTGGGAACATTATATCTACCATCTTGAGCTGTATAAAATAGACATAAATCTAATAATAAACAAATTCAATCCCATAGCTACTGACTCAGAAAGACTTGGTAAACTGGGACTGTGCCTCCTGTTTTTCACGGAGGCCATTAGAGAATGCTTTGAAGAAGAGTAAATTTTCATGGTTGCCAACTCCTTAGCTCAGTTACTGTTCCAAAATCGCCCAGTTGGGCTGATTGACTTGATAGAAGCTATTTTGGGAGCTGGGTGAAATTAAGAGCAGAATCCAGATCCTTAAATAAACATGGTTTACCTTGGAATATGAGGTCACATGAAATTAATCTGTGTTTTTGGATAATTCCCTGTTCTCTTAATTCTATGCATTTGTAACTAGCGTGACTTTGCCTTATTGTTAATCATGCCAATTTTGACTTGAATCTTCCATACGTTTCAATTTTCTCTTATGCCAGAGAACCCCTTTGTGGATACTCCGCTCTGATGGAAGCAGCGGCTTCTGGTCATGAGATCATCGTCCAGTATCTTCTCAACCATGTGAGTGACCATTGATTTCCAGGAAGGTCAAAAACACCATGCCTGTTTTTAAACAGTGGTGTATATATCATGCTCAGCCATAATACACTGTTCTGTTTTTGGCCGAGCACGGCGTATCAATAAAGCTGATATATGTTGTTGTTAGTTGCGAAATCGTGTTTGACCCATCGCGACCCTGTGGACAACATTCCTCTAGACCTTCCTGTCCTCTAGCATCCTCTGGAGTCCATTTAAGCTCATGCCTACTGCTTCAGTGACTCCATCCAGCCACCTCGTTCTCTGTTGTCCCCTTCTTCTTTTGCCCTCAGTCATTCCCAGCATTAGGCTCTTCTCCAGGAAGTCCTTCCTTCTCATTAGGTGACCAAAGTATTTGAGTTTAATCTTCAGGATCTGGCCTTCTAAAGAGCAGTCAGGGTTAATCTCCTCTAGGACTGACCGGTTTGATCGCCTTGCAGTCCAAGGGACTCGCAGGAGTCTTCTCCAGCACCATAGTTCAAAGGCCTCAATTCTTTGGCGCTCAGTCTTCCTTATGGTCCAGCTTTCACAGCCATCCATTTCAACTGGGAAAACCATAGCCTTGACTATACACACTTTTGTTGGCAGGGAGATGTCTCTGATTTTTAGTATGCTATCTAGATTTGCCATAGCTTTCCTCCCCAGGAGCAAGTGTCTTTTAATTTCAACAAGCTGATATAACTTAGGCTAATTTTCCACAAGCTTTTCACCATTAATCCCCTGGTGACTGCAATAGGAACATGGGTGCACAAAAGCTTTTCATTAGGAGCTGCCCAGTTACTGCAAATGTTTCGAATTTCTGCGAGTTCATTTTTACTGGACAGATTGAGTGAAAGGTAGTGTCTTCTCACAGGGTGTGAAAGTGGACATACGGGACAGCACGGGGGCCACCGCACGGACTTTGGCCATGAAATACGGACACATGAAGATTGTGGGGCTGATAGACTTGCATACGGCTCCCGTGCCCAAAGTCTTGCGCAGAGGCACAGGTGAGTAAAAGGCTATAACATTGTGTGGAAAAAGGATCTGATTGAAATGCAAGCCCAGATGGATGCAGACAATGGAAATCTATCCTTTGAGCTAGGCCCAGTCAGGAAACAGATTCAAGAATGATTAGAACTCTAATCAAAGCTTTGATTAAAGATAATGGACTAGGGAGAAAAAATCAGAAGCGTTGCGGCAAGACTGGCTGGAAAAATAGCGGGCTCCAACGAGGTCCGCGAAAATCCAGCCGGCAAACCACGGTTGAAGGGTCTTCAGATCAGAAGAAGGAGAGGTATCGCGGACGACCAAGAGGAACAGGCAGGTTCCTGGGATTTACAGTGACAAAAAAAGAGTGGATGGGGGGGAATAGCCCCCCCAAAAAGAATCAATCAAAGGGTAAAGAGGGAAATAATGGAAAGAGATTAGGAGAAAGCTTGGGGAGAACTATTCGAATAATATATCTAAAAGTGAGAAAAAGGATCCAAAAGATATAATAAATGTAAAAATAAAAAAAAAAGAAGAAGTTAAGAGAATGGGATAAAAGGAGAAAATTATCAAGAAGTGGAATTTTGGAGACACCAAGAGAAAATGGTTAAAGAAGGGAAGAGGAAGGGAAATAAGGTACATATTAGTAAATTTAAAGGAACTGTATTAATATTATTAATTGTGGATGGTCAACTAAGTTAAAGGGTTTTAATGTAAGATTTGAATATGATGATGTGTATTGCTTATAGTAAAACAGAATAGCAGATGAAATGTGGAATGGTAATTTGGTTTAATCTTGAAGACAATTTAAATTAAGAGATAAAGTTGAAATGTTAAAAAGTGGGATGGGGATTTTGAGAAATATATTTTGTAATGGAAAAATAAGATAATTAATTGATGTTATTGTAAGAGATTAGGAATTAAGGGCAGATAGTGATACTGTTTATGTATTAAGAAATTAAGATAAGATAAAGAAATATGGAAAAAGTATTATGGCTGAAATTGGAAATATGTAAAATGGACTTGAAAAAAAAAAGAACAACATGGCAGAAGCTGAAATAACAAGATATGGTGAAAAATGATTAATTTGTGATAAAGAATTATATAAAAGAGATGAATATGGAAAAAATGGGAAGATAGGAATAGATTATAAAGATTGATATATATATATATATAAGATGTATAAGATTTGACCCGGTCAACACTGTTCATAAAATATGTATGATGAAAGAAAAATTCTAATAAAACTTGTTTATAAAAAAGAGAAAGAGAGATAATGGACTAGGCAGCTTTATAAGAGATTGGAAACCATTTGTGGACTTTCTGCACACTAAGTATAACAACAGATGGTTAACAGAAGGATTTGAAGATTAATGTAATGTTTAGCTCAACCTGTTGACTGCTTTTTCTTCTTTCTTCTTTTATATTTATATAGAAAGATGATAGAGAGATAGAGAGAGAGATAAAATCTGTTACATTTAGTGCATAGAATGTCCACAAAAGGTTTCCAGCCTCTTTACAGTATATATTTGTAGAAGAGGAGGAGAATTTACTGCTTTTTCTTTTCTTTCAGCACCCAGCCAGGGTGGATCCTACTGTTAAATGTTAAATTTAATTGATCACTTTTACCTCTCTTTTTTTTTTTTGCACACAATTTTTTTCCTTTTTGTTAGGATTGAATGTATGCTTTTGTTTCATTTTCTTCATTTGTTTTACTGTTTAGTATTTTAACTTTTATGATAAAATAACAAATAATATATTTTTTTTTAAAAAAATGACTGCTTGTACTTTTGGGATCTTTCAGGAAAGTACGAAGATCTGAGCTCCTCAGACGAGTCTTACTGCGCTCCTCAAAGACAAAGGCCTGCCCGTAAACCCAGAGGGCCCAGCATTCACGAAGGGCCCCATGCTCTGGCCAAGATCACAGCAGTCAGAACTGGCGGGAAGAGTCGGTTGCCTCATGGTGAGTTCAGGTTTTACCTCCTCTGCTTTAGAATCTGCCTAGATGGCTGCCACCAGAGTGGATAAAAATCAATGGTTTTTTTTAAAAAAATCAAAAAAATCAGTTTTTTTTTAAATTTAAATTGGATTTTTTTGATTTAAATCGGATTTTTTTATTTTTATCAAATTTATTTTAATAAAATGCTTTTGGAGTAAAAATCTATCTAAAGATAGTTTCTATTTAAGATACATTAATAATTTAGTTTATTCAGTATGAAATGGAGCTTAGTTATGTAGCAGGAGGCTGTATATTCTGTAATATTGGGACTCTCGGTGAGTCAACAGCAGGTCAGAGGAGGAGCCGCTGAGGGACAGAGATGGCAGTTGCTCTTTAAAAATTATGATTTAAATCGAGTTGATTTAAATCAAGCCTTTTTACTAGTGATTTAAATCATGATTTAAATCGTGATTTAAATCGACTTGATTTAAATCAAATCCACCCTGGCTGCCAGCAATACAATCCTTACCGCCGTGGTGGCACAGTGGTTAGAATGCAGTATTGCAGGCTAATTCTCCTCACTGCCAGGATTTCAATCCTGACTGGTTTAAGGTTGACTCAGCTTTCCATCTAAACTTTCAAGACTTTCCATTCCTTTGTTCACCTCCCTTCCTTTTACCGTCCCTTCCTTTTACACACAGAGCAGCTCCCGCCAGAAGGCTACGTCACCTTTAAAGACGATGGAAGCGGCTTGGAGGGAGGTGACCTTCGATACCGAGATGTCATCTCCCCCATCAACGACCGTGACGTGGAAAGCAGTAGCAGCCGAGGTACCCTGCGTTTTCTTTGGCCGGATAGACTGATCTTACAGGCAGACAGGGCTCTTTTTAAAATACAGGCTGTTTTGTGGCAGTGACTTTATTTTGCTCCAGAATAAATAATCTAAAGATGAATTAAAGTTCTTTGTTTCTGTTCTCTGTCAAGCTAAGTATGTTGCTACTGGAGATGTTAGAATAGGATTATAAGATTTTTGTGTTCTCTGAGCTGAAGCAAAATAATCATTTCTCTGCTCCTGGAATTAGATTGTGATCTGTTACCAGCACTGCCTATACTGGCTACCTGTTTTCTTTCTTTCTTTCTTTCTTTCTTTCTTTCTTTCTTTCTTTCTTTCTTTCTTTCTTTCTTTCTTTCTTTCTTCTTTCCTTCCTTCCTTCCTTTCTCTCTCTCTCTCTCTCTCTCCCCCACTCTCTCTCTTCCCATTCCCTCTCCCCTACATAATACATTTTACTCTTCCTATTTTCTCCACAACAACAACATTGTGAGGTGAGTTGGGCTGAGAGAGAGGGACTGGCCCAAAGCCACCCACCTGGCTTTCATGCCTAAGGCAGGTCTAGAACTCACCATCTCCTGATGATTGGGCCAAAGTCACCTACCTGGCTTTCATGCCTAAAGTGGGACTAGAACTCACTGTCTCCTGGTTTCTAGGCCAGCACCTTAAGCAGTAGACCAGATTGGTTCAGTTTTGTTTTCAGTCCTAGGGACTGACTGTGACCTCATAGTTCAAATGATCTAATTTTGACATTTCTTTTGCTTCTCTTATTCACTGTTTTATAACATCTGATCTCACCTGTTGAAAAAGCTGGAGAACTTGAAAGTTGTTAGCTTGCATCTCTAATAAAAGCTGTAACTTGGCAATATATTTTGAAATTAATCTAAAACACTATGAAAAAGGGATGAGATACTTGTATGCAAAACTCAGCACAATATGCATCAAAATGCACCAGGATGCCAACATCCACGGTTTTTCTGAATACTGTGGTGTAGTTCATAGTGAAAGATATAATCATCATCTTCTTTCAAGGACCCCATAATCCCTTGCATTGGGGTGCAGTCTGGGCAACTAAATGGAGCTGAGTGTTTACTGGCCGGACGCCTTTCCTGTTGCCAATGCGGAGTTTTGTCCAGCAGATATATTCTCATTGGGCCCAGAGAGAGAAATATCTGCCTCTACCTAGGATCAAACTCATAAGAGCTCCACCTCTAGGCTACTGCACCACCCCTCAGTAAAAGATATAATACTAACCTAAAATTGAGAGATTTGCTCCTTGTTTTGTCAGTCAGTATCTGAATATATAAAGGTTGCCGCTCCATTGGGTCTGAAACTCCTTTATCACTTCTCACCATTTCAGAAGAGAATTCCTTCTTCACAAATGACGTGGGTGTCATCCGGACCAGCAGCAGCAGTGAAGGCCTGGCCAGAACAGTGGGGATCAGCAGCGAGGGCTCCTTAGAGAGCAATGAGGTAGACACCCATGAGCGATCTTGGGTAGACTCAGGAGCTAAGCAGAATTGGGCCTCGGGTGAGGGACCCCCACCCCAGAAGAAAATAACACTAGATTGAGAAGGCCGATTTTATTTTAGTTGCCAAGGAAACAGCATGTGTCTCCATGTAGTTACTGGGAATTCAACTTGATTTAAAGCAGGTTCCGACAGGTTCTGGAGAACCAGTAGTGGAAATTTTGAGTGGTTTGGAAAACCGGTGGCGGAAATTTTGAGTATTCGGAGAACCGGCAAATATCACCTCTGGCTGGCCCCAGGAGTGGGGAATGAATGGGGATTTTGCAGTATCCTACCCCCAGGAGTGGGGAGGGAATGGGGATTTTGCAATATCCTTCCCCCAGGAGTGGGGAGGGAATGGAGATTTTGAAGTATCCTTCCCCTGCCACGCCCACCAAGCCACGCCCACAGAACCGGTAGTAAAAAGAAGTTGAATTCCACCACGGATTTAAAGGTGTCTTAAAGTGGAAAACAAATACATATTCTTGGTGCGAAAGAGAAGAACCATGGTGGCGCAGTGGTTAGAATGCAGTATTGCAGGCTAATTCTGCTGACTGCCGACTGACTGCAATTTGGCAGTTCGAATCTCACCGGCTCAAGGTTGACTCAGCCTCCTATCCTTCCGAGGTGGGTAAAATGAGGACCCAGATTGTTGGGGCCAAGAGGCTGACTCTGTAAACCGCTTAGAGTGGGATGCAAGGCACTGTGAAGCGGTATATAAGTCCAAGTGCTTTTGCTAACACTTGGAACAGACCTTGATGGTCTTCAAGTCCAACCCTCTGCTCAAGCAGAAGACCCTATACCAGTGATAGCTAACCTTTTTGCCATCGCGTGCCAAAAGCACGGGGGAGCACGGGGGGTTGAGCGCGCCGATACCCATAATTCAATGTGCCCTGCCCCCCATGCATGCACACGCAACTCCCCCCCTCCCCCGCGCTCCTCCTGCTTTCGGCACGTGATGGCACAGTGGGCCCGGTAAGCCTGTTTTTTGCCCTCTCCAGGCTCCAGAGGCTTTCTAGGAGCTGGGGAGGGCTAAAACAGTCTTCCCCACACCCCCAGAGGCCAGAAACCGCCCGTTTCCCAATTTCTGGTGGGCTCAAAAGGCCTGAAAATCAGCTGGCTGGCATACGCATGCACACTGGAGCTGAGCTAGGCAACGCTCGCGTGCCCACAAATACGACTCCGCGTGCCACCTGTGGCACACGTGCCATAGGTTCGCCATCACGGCCCTATACTATTCCAGACAAATGGCTGTCCAGTCTCTTATTAAAAACCTCCAGTGTTGGAGCACCCACAGCTTCTGAAGCCAAGCCATACCGCTGATCAATTGTTCTGGGAATTTCTCCTCGGTTCTAGGTTGGTCCTCTCCTTCATTAGTTTCCATCTGTTACTTCTTGTCTGACCCTCAGGTGCTTCGGAGAATAGGTGGACCCCCTCTTCTTCGTGACAACCCCTCAAATATTAGAACGCTGCTATCATGTCACCCCCCTAGCCCTTTTCATTAAACTAGGAGGCTTTAAAGTACACTTGAGGATGAAATTGCTCCTTGAAAAGAATCCTCATCCTTTTTCTACTCGTGATAATAAAAAAGCGACGACATGTGGAGCTTCTGAAGTGGTTAACAATTGACCTTTGTTAATGTTGAAGAAGACTGCTTTCGCTGGGCTTATCCCCTGTCCTTCTTCTCAGGATTCTGACTCGGCAGCCAAATCCTCCAGCCGAAAACATGCCAAGAGTTCCATGAAGGCCAAGAATCGCTATGGCAACAGTGACACTCACTGGCCTTGGAAAGCCAAGGCCTCTGCTCAACACCACGGCCCATCTAATGATGAAACGCCCTCCTGTGCTGGACCACAGGTAACTCTTGTCAGAGTATGAATATTCATAGACTGGAATAGATCAGCCAATGGGGACTGCTTGAATAGACATGGTAACAGGTCAGCCAATGGGGACTGGCTGGTATAGGACATGGTAACAAGGTCAGCCAGTGTATAGGCATAGCAACTAAGTCAGCCAATGAGGGCTGTTTGGGAGCTGAAACAGCTTGGAGCCTGGGCGTGGCTTAGGTTAACTGATACGTATAAATATAAATTGTGTGCTCCCATTATTGTCCTTCCTTCTATTAATTGTGCTTCTGTGATTATGCTTCTGATTCTGAGAACTGCTCTTGGTATTGTATATATGTCTCATGTGTTATTATGTATATAAAGAAGTTTCTTATTTAATGACTCCTGCTGCATCAGTTATCTGCGTGTGCTTTCTGGATGTGATTTCTGCAACAAACTCTTGGCAGCTCTCATGCCCAGCAAGGCTAGCAAATACAGGAAAGAAGAAGCATTTTGGATTTCTTTTTATTGATAGTTGGGTATCGTAGGAGAATTTGGAGAACCAGATGACCTCCAGCGTCCCTTCCAACTCTGTTACTGTTAAATCACTGGTTAATTGTCCTCACTGTTAGGAAGTTTCTCCTCAATTCCAGGTTGCTTTTCTCCTTGATTAGTTTCCATCCATTGTTTCTTGTCCTGCGCTCTGGTGCTTTGGAAAATAAGTTTATTTATTTATTTATTATATTTCTATACCGCCTTTCTCCCGTAGGACTCAAGGCGGTGTACAGTCAAGAAAAATATAGACACACAAACATCATAAAATTGCTAATTAAAATTATTACTTAGTTTGGTCAATTAAATAAAACCCAGAATTAGATAACATTTTAAAAAATTCATTCACATGTTCATATGTTTAGCCCCACCTGTTGGAACATCAGGGTCTTGAGGGCACGGCGGAAAGCACGGAGATCAGGGATATTCCGTATCTCCGGGGGCAGTTCATTCCAAAGGGTTGGAGCCCTCACAGAGAAGGCCCTCCCCCTGGGAGTCGCCAGTCGGCATAATTTGACTGACGGTACCCTGAGTAGTCCCTGTGAGAACGAACTGGTCGGTGGGAGGCTATTGGTGGCAAAAGACGGTCTCGTAGGTACCCAGGTCCTAAGCCATGGAGCGCTTTAAAGGTGATAACTAACACCTTGAATCGCACCCGGAAGACCACCAGAAGCCAGTGCAGCTCACGTAGGAGAGGTGTTACATGGACGTAACGAGCTGCGCCCATAATCACCCGTGCGGCTACATTCTGGACCAGTTGGATCCTCCGGGTGCTTTTCAAGGGGAGCCCCATGTAGAGAGCATTACAGTAGTCCATACGGGAGGTAACTAGGGCATGAGTGACCCCCCTCCTCTTTGTGGCAGTCCCTCAAATATTGGATCAGGTGATGTTGACGTTGTGCAGCAGTTGATAGGGATGGCGAAGTTTTTGTCAGAGCTGGCACAATGCAAGTCCTTTTCCCTTGAGTTTTAACCCAGCCTCCTGACAATCTCTTCTGCTTGCTTTTCCTGAGCTGCAGGATCTGGCCACTTTCCTAGACCAGATTGGCTGCCTGAAGTACTTGCAAATCTTTGAGGAGCAAGATATCGACCTCCGCATCTTCCTAACTTTAACGGAGAGCGACCTAAAAGAGATCGGCATCACGTAAGTGGATTTCTATGCTATGAGGATTGAACCCAAAACCATGCAGCTATCCTGCCAGATAGACTGTCCCTCAATGCTTCACATTACCGATAGAGAGTCAGGTTGCATTCCTTTAAAAAAACAAAAAGTTCATTTGACTAAAGGTGTCACTGTATGCAGCAACCTTCTGGACACGCTTGGTGCCAAGTGGGTCTTTGTGAGTCACGGTGGTGCAGTGGTTAGAGTGCAGTGCTGCAGGGCTAATTCTGCTGACTGCCAGCTGTTCGAATCTCACCAGGCTCAAGGTTGACTCATCCTTCTGAGGTGGGTCAAATGAGGACCCAGATTGTTGGGGGCAAATACGCTGACTCTGTAAACCGCTTAGAGAGGGCTGTAAAGCACCATGAAGCAGTATATAAGTCTAAGTGCTATTGCTGTTGCCATTGACACAGCCTTCCATCCTTCTGAGGTCGGTAAAATGAGGACCCAGATTGTTGGGGGCCATAGGCTGACTCTGTAAACTGCTTCGAAAGGGCTGTAAAGCATCGTGAAGCGGTGTATAAGTCTAAGTGCTAATGCTGATTAGCTATGTTGGCGCAGTGGTTAGAATGCATTATTGCAGGCTAATTTTGCCATCTGCCAGCAGTTCAATCCTGACCGGCTCAAGGTTGACTCAGCCTTCCAGCCTTCTGAGGTCAGTAAAATGAGGACCCAGATTGTTGGGGGCAAGAGGATGATTCTGTAAATCGCTTAGAGAGGGCTGTAAAGCAGTATATAAGTCTAAGTGCTCTTGCTGTTTTGGGAGAAGAGACGAGTCCACCTAACAAGAGGCCGCTTCGTTGTGCCTGCAAACATCTCTGGTGGGAGCTTTCCCTTCTGATTCCTGCTTACTTTCCCCTGTAGGCTCTTTGGACCGAAGAGGAAGATGACCTCCGCCATTGCCCGATGGCACAGCAGTGCCCGACCACTGAGCGATGCCCTTGAGCTGGCCTATGCTGACCGTCTGGAAGCCGAAATGCAAGAATTGGCCATCCAGCTTCACAAGGTGAAGCACCCAACTCCTCTAACGCGTTCGGAAGGAGACGAAGGATGCTCTGTTGCACCCTGGTTGTGATGCGTACATGTCGGTTGGGTGCCTCCTTAGTTTAAGTCCCTGAAGTACCGAGAGAGTGAGGTTGAAATGCGGGTCCTTTAGTTCTTTTTCTCTTCAAGTCAGAGGAAGTCTGGCAGATGAAAAGAAGGCGGGAGTGGATTTAGTGTTAAGAGTTAAAAGCTTCATCAGATTTTGACTGACGTACAACGGGTATCAAATTGAAGGCCCATGGGCCAGATCTGGCCCACGGAGTGCTTAGATCTGGCTCACGAGGCTGCCATGGAAACAGTGAAAGTCTGGACCGCAGTACCTCTGCCAGCGAAAACAGAGCTCAGGGGGACCTCCGTTGTCACTGGCAGAGGGCTGCAGGAGGCCGTCCCAGCCGAAAATGGATCTCACAAGGGCTGCACATGGCACCCTGAGATCCATTTTCGCTGGCAGAATGCTGCAGGAAGCCATCCCGGCCAGGTATGGGTTCTACTTACCTTTACTACCAGTTCGCAACGGGACCGCGGGCACACAAGCTTCTGCGTATGCGCAAATCGTCATTTATGATGTCTGGGTGGGTGGGCGGAGCCTCCCGCTGATTTTACTACTGGTTCTGTAGAACCGGACTAAACCGGGAGCAACCCAACACTGATCCTGGCCCAAAACAGATCTCGCAAGGACTGCATGCAGCACCCCGAACTCCTTTTTTGCTGGCATAGGGCTGTAGGAGGCTGTCCCAGCTGAAAACTGAGCTCGGAGCCCGTTTTCACTAGCAAGAGTGCTCAGGCCACAGGCTCCCCCAACACGAGTAATGTCAAGCTGGTCACACTCCCCCCCTCCACCCGAGGTCAAACACAACCCTGATGCGGCCCTCAATGAAATCGAGTTTGACAAACACACACCCCTGACATAGAACAGCGTCAGAGTTGGAAGGGATCTGCTCTGGTTGGACACAAAACACTCTGTTGTTGTTAGTTGCGAAGTTGTGTCTGACTCATCGTGACCCCATGGACAATGTTCCTCCAGGCCTTCCTGTCCTCTACCATCCCCTGGAGTCCATTTAAGCTCACATCTACTGCTTCGGTGACTCCATCCAGCCACCTCGTTCTCTGCCATCCCCTTCTTCTTTTGCCCTCAATTGTTCCCAGCATTAGGCTCTTCTCCAGGGAGCCCTTCCTTCTCATTCGGTGGCCAAAGTATTTGAGTTTCATACAAAACACTCTACTCTGGTCTTTTTTTCCTCTCTTTCCTTGCAGAGGTGCGAGGAAGTCAAAGGGCTGAAAGGACAGGTGAGCCAAGAGCAGGAGCTGCGAGCGGTAGTCGAGAGCTGCCTCATGGAGCAGGACGTGGCCTGGAGCAATGCCCAGGCTCAAGTCCAAGAAGTCCAGGGCGTCACCAGAAGTGCTGGGATCCTCCTGGAACAGATGCAGTGAGTGGGCCTTCAAGAGGGATGCCATTTACTCCCTTTGAGATCCCTTCCTTGCTCTCCCCCTCTTCCGAGCACGTGCCCATAGTGTCATGGCAAGAATTAGAAAAGCAGAACTCTCAGGTGGCTTTGCTTAGAGGACTCTTCCGTTCCAGGGCTCCACTTGGGATGTTGCCTGAGAAGCAAGCAATGCTGTATAGCAGGGAGGCCCTCCAAACTCGACAACTTGAAGACTTGTGGACTTCAACTCCCAGAATTCCTCAATTGTGGCAGTTGAAGTCCACAAGTCTTCAAGTTGCCGAGTTTGAAGTCCACAAGTCTTAAAAGTGGCTGAGTTTGGAGCCCCCCCCCCCCCAGCTGTATAGAAAACATTGACTATGGGATAGGGCAAGGGTCTGCAACCTTAAACATTCAAAGAGCCATTTGGACCCATTTCCCACAGAAAAGAAAACACCAGGAGCCACAAAACCCTGACTATTTCTTGAGCGGCCACAAAACTAGCATATGTAGTTGAATTAAATGTTCTGTTTTCTTCTGAAACTTTTCTTTTCTTGGATTTATCCATGGTTGGCCTACCGGGAGTTGAAAAGCTCAATAAATCACGTACCGGCGAGTGTCGCAAATTGGCGGTTGTGACACATATTTTGAGTGACAGGGAGCTGCAGCAGAGGGGTGAAAGAGCCGCATGTGGCTTCAGAGCCGCAGGTTGCTGACCCCTGGGATATATCGGGAGACAGAACGCTCCTCAATTTATGACCACAATTGGGACCAGAATTTCCCTTGCCAAGCAAGACGATTGTTAAGTGAATTGCATCTGATTTTACAACCTTTTTTTGCCATGGGTGTTAAGGCAATAACTGCAGTTGTTAGGTGAATCATGCGGTTGTTAAGCAAATCTGTCCCCCACCCACCCACCCCCATTGACTTTACTTGTCAGAAATTGGCTGGGAAGGTCATATATGACAATCACATAATCCCCGGATTCTGCAACTGTTGTAAATACATGTTGGTCGCCTGAATTTTGATCACATGACCGTGGGGGATGCTGTGATGGTCATAAATGCGAGGACCAGTCCCCAGACCTAAGTCACTTTTTTCACTACCCTTGTAATATCAAACGGTTGCCGAATGAATGGTTGTAAGCCGAGGACTATCTGTAATCCTTCCAGGAGAATAATCCCGTTTCTTGTGCTTCTCTGCCTCTGTGTGTGATTTTCTTTCATAGAAACCTCTTGATGTCCTTCTGGTTTCTCTTTAAGGGCCTGTCAGGCAGAGCTGGCTTCCCGGATCAACCAGGAGCAGGCAGGCGGCCAGAGATCGGAGATCAGAGCACAGCTAGGAGCCAGTAAGTGGTGTTGGAAGAAATGGCCATCTGGGTTCAGTTCCAAGTGGGGGAAAAGACTCTTGGATTCATGGACGTTGCTTGGAAAGAAGGTTTATTGATGAACTGGATCACATGGCTTGAGATCCTGGGCAAAAAAAAGGGCAGAGATGATGAGAGAGCCTGGGTTTTATGCCCTCTGTTGGGCTTGTGTTCCGATGGGTTGTCAGACTCCCATGGGGCCATGCAGGGGTAACTTTGTAGGTTGTCTTTGTCCCAGGCTTGGTTGACTCTTGCTGGGTGATGAATGAAAGGGCTTTGGGCAATTCCTACTATGGCTCTGCCTGGAGGAGGTAGATCTTTGTTATGTAGAATAGACTGGCCCAGGCCTTAATCTTAATGGCCCATTGACAAAGGTGGGGTGGGTTCTGCCTCCCTTTTAGGGGAAATATTCTGCCCTTTTAATATTTCCTAAAAGATCTCATTTTCCTAGGAGAGGGGTGGGTGCCAACTTCCTACAGTGGGATGTGCAATTCATGACCAAGAGGCTGTCTTCACCCTCTTTCTCTCACACATCTGAGCAAAGTTTCCTCTTACTCCCGTGGAATCCATCCCTTCCCTCTTGAGAATCCACTTCCTGCCTACCTTCTTTCAAATCTTGGAACCAGCTCTCCTTCTTTTCCTATTCCTCCTTGGTGATGTGGTGGCGCAGTATTGCAGGCTAATTCTGCTGACTGCCAACTGCAGTTCAGTTCTCACCGGCTCAAAGTTGACTCAGCTTTCCATCCTTCCGAGGTGGGTAAAATGAGGTCCCAGATTGTTGGGGGCAAGAGGCTGATTCTGTAAACCACTTACAGAGGGCTATAAAAGCACTGTGAAGCACTACTGTATATAAGTCCAAGTGCTATTGCTGTTGCCCTTCCTTCCTTCCTTCCTTCCTTCCTTCCTTCCTTCCTTCCTTCCTTCCTTCCTTCCTTCCTTCCCATGGTGGTACAGTGGTTAGAATGCAGTATTGCAAGCCAACTCTGCCCACTGTCTGGAGTTCGATCCTGACTGGCTCAAGGTTGACTCAGCCTTCCCTCCTTCCCAGGTGGATCAAATGAGGACCCAGATTGTTGGGGGGCAATAGGCTGACTCTGTAAACAGTTTAGATAGGGCTGCAAAGCACTGTGAAGAGGTATATAAATCTAAGTGCTATTGTTACCGCTATCCTAATATTTTCCTACTTTTCTTAGGGCAAACCAGCTGAACTGTTTCTCCCCCCCACCCCCACCCCGCCTCTTAAAAATAAAGACATGGCTCAGCTTTGCCTGAAATTGGGAAAGGGGCTTCTTTCATGTCCATCCTTAGAACAACGCTGTCTTGAATTAATGCTGTTGATTTCTTTCTTGATCTTAGGCCCCGAAGGATGGTCACCTACCTTGAAGGCCCTTAGCCTGCCTGAGCTGTCAGCTCTTCTGGAGGAATGTGTGGGGGAAATGGGTAAGGTTAATACCTTACAGTTGAACAGTCGTCTTCTCCTTGATCTGATCAACATGACTTCAGCAGCATGACACATCCAATGGTCACTATGAAAAGGAAATAGATGTAGGAGAAGAACAGGCAGAGCTAGAAGGGCAGAGCTAAATGTATCATCAATTTAGAATCCTTACATTGCCACAAACGATCCAAGCTCAGTCCTGCTTGAATTCTGTTGATCCTTATCTGGCACCGGTTCTAGTTTCTTGTATCTAGACTTGAGCAATAATAAATCCTTCCAAATTGCCACTTAACATGCTGATTCTTTGCACCTGACAATCTATATATATAAAAGCGGAAACCACTCACGCATTAATCACGAAATCTCCAGAACCGTAAAGCCTACAAACTTGAAATTTCCCATGTATGTTCTTCTTGACTTCTAGGTGCTCACTAAGAAAGGATTTTTCGAAATGACCATCAGAGCATTAGTATTTCCTATATTATTATAACGTGCTCTGATGCTAATTAGTTAGACATTCTACTCTCCCTCCCAACTTGAAAATAACTCTGGAGAGAATGGGATAGCATAGGGGAGGCTTCTGTGGGGCAAGCCTCATGGAGAGAAGGGGCTAGAAAGCCTGAGGGAGAGAAGGGGATAGGATAGGAGACGTTTCTGTGGGGCAAGGCTGAGGGAGAGAAGGGGAGAGGCTTCTGTGGGGCCAGCCTGAGGGAGGGAAGGGGATAGAGGAGGATCTATGGCAGGGGCCATCAACCTTTCGGACCTCAGGGACCACTAAATTCATAATTTTAAATCCCGAGGACCACTAATATGATTTTTTTAAAAAGATAAATAGTATTTAGTGCAATATAAAAAATGCAAATAATTTTTCTGCGGACCAACAAAAGTTTCTCATGGGCCACCAGTGGTCCACGGACCACCAGTTGGTGACCACTGATCTATGGGGCCAAGCCTGAGGGAGAGAAGGGGAAGAGGAGAGGATCTATGGGGCCAGCTTGAGGGAGAGAAGGGGAGAGGAGAGGATCTATGGGGCCAAGCCTGAGGGAGAGAAGGGGAGAGGAGAGGATCTATGGGGCCAGCCTGAGGGAGAGAAGGGGAGAGGAGAGGCCAATTGTAACTACTCATTAATTTTCAAACTCTTAAGTGTCGATTTATCAAGCCCGATCACATAGTTTTGCAGTGGCGCACGGGTATTCAGCTAGTAATGGAATAAAGGACAACTTCCCCGAGCTAGTTTGCTTTCCTGTCCTAATGAAAGAATATCCAACACTTGCGGTAACTGAGCTGTTCTGTCTCTCCAGGGACAACCCTCTGTTCTGTCAACCATAATCTCGAGAGGCTACAATGTCCAGAGAAGGGGAAGGCTGTCCGCAAACAGCCCTAGCAGTAGAGGAAGGTAAGTGAGGAGCAAATAGCCTCCAAGATTGAGAGTGGATGTTGGTGTGTAAAAACATTGTGGTCTTCAAGGCCAAGAGAATGCCTTGGAGACATTTGGCTGACCATAGTTATAGCTTACTTTATTGTCAATGCACATGGTACAACGAAATTAAATGCCGTCTTCAGTGTACATTATAACTATAAAAATAAAAATGCAAACATACATGCTTTACATTCTACCCTGTTTCCCCAAAAATAAGACCTCCCGGATAATAAGCCCAATTGGGCTTTTGAGCTCATGCGCTAAAGTAAGCCCCTCCCCCCCGAAAATAAAGCCCGAAAATATTTAACGGCATGCACAGCCAATCCCTGCCATTTCCTCTGGTTAGGGTTAGGGAGACAGAGCTGGAAATCAGGTAAGACGGCAAGAGGAGCCCCGTCTTGCTCCACGCGCCCCAAAATAATAAGGCCTCCCCGAAAATAAGGCCAAGCGCTTATTTCAGGGTTCAAAAAAATATAAGACGGTGTTATTTTCGGGGAAACACGGTATATATAATTGAAATTGAAAACCCAATATTGCACTATACCGTAGAATCCAAGATGGTTATTGCCCTGGGATAGAAGCTGTTTTTCAGCCTATTTGTCCTTGTTTTTAGTGTCCTGTACCATCTGCCAGATGGTAATAGTTCAAAAAAAGGGGGGGGGAGGATGAGATGAATCTCTAAGAACGTTTTGGACTTTCTTAAGGCAGCGGGAGCTATAAAGCTCTTCCAGAGAGGGGAGAGGGCAACCAATGATTCCCTGGGCAATGACGTTGACCCTCTGGAGCTCTGTCCTATCTGCCACTGTGCGATTGGCAAACCGTACACAGGTGCAGTAAGTTAAAATACTCTCTATGGTGCAGCGGTAGAAGGCCAGCAGCAGTTCTGACCATTCTGGGAAACGAGAAGCTAGACCAACTCCCAGATACTACAGGTAGTCCTCAACTTACGACCACAACTGAGTCCAAAATTTCTGTTGTTTGCCTAGCTCCTGCCCACTTAGCAGTTTGAAAGCATGCAAATGCGAGTACCATGTTTCCCCGAAAATAAGACCCTGTCTTATATTTTTTGAACCCCGAAATAGGCGCTTGACCTTATTTTGGGGGAGGTCTTATTATTTTGGGGCGCGTGGAGCAAGATGGGGCTCCTCTTGCTGTCTTACCTGATTTCCAACTCTGCTTTTAAATATTTTTGGGGAGGGCTTTTTTTTTCGGGGGGAAGGCTTATTTTAGCGCATGCGTTCCAAAAGTCCGATTGGGCTTATTATCAGGGGATGTCTTATTTTCGGGAAAACAGGGTAGATAAATGGGTACCACTTTGGTGGGGAGGAAACAGAGCTCCGCAATGTCATTCTGGCCACATGACTGTGGAAATGTCTTCAGACAGCACTGGCTCATGAGAAAGGGAATAAAAGAAGGAAGGAAGGAAGGAAGGAAGGAAGGAAGGAAGGAAGGAAGGGCAAGAGCACTTAAACTTATATACTGCTTCACAGGGCTCTAAGCAGTTTACAGAGTCAGAATATTGCCCCGGACAATCTGGGTCCTCATTTTATCAACCTCGGAAGGATGGAAGGCTGAGTCAATCTTGAGCCGGTGAGTCTCGAACTGCCAAATTGCAAGCAGCCGGCAGTCAGCAAACTAATGGAATAAAATCTGCAGGGCCTCCTTTCCTTTCCTTCCTTCCTTCCCTTCTGTTTACGTAAGGAAATTTCTCTGAAACAATAACGCAGAGGATCATGGGTTGTCTAGCTATTAGATTAACTTTCTGTACATTGGGATTTCTGCATCACACCAAGCCATCCGTGGCTTATTTGTGGTTCAGCCCCCCCCACAATGTGTGAATCCCCGTTTACGCCTTGGAAAACTTGGGTCTCGATGTGATGTGAGATGTGCCCAACTCCAAAGGCTGCTCCGTGTTGTAAAGCGTCTGCCCCAAATAGCAGGGCCCGTTTGCTCCTCTTCCCTCAAGTTGGCTGAAGCCATGCCTCGTCTTGCAGACATGCTGACGTTGGGTGACCGTTCCACCCTGAAGCTGTGTTTGCCTGGAAGAGTGAAGTGAGTGCAAGTGACCGATCGGGCTGCCCACGCCATCTACAGTGAGGGTCTCGCTATACGTGGCTGCCATCGTTGGCGAATGAGGGCAGATCCGCTGAATGGCGCAACGGCGGTGCCGAAGGAGAAAGGCGGGTCTGATTCTGCAAAGCCAGAAGAGCGGTGAGCACAGAAGCTCTCTAAAGCTTGGAAGCGCCAAGCAAACAAGTTCACATGTGCCTAGTTGTGGAAGACGTGCTTGCTGCCTCTTAATAAGCAAGCAAGCATTGTTAGTATCAATATTTAAGCTTCTTCTTCCTCCATCTCTTGGGTCCACAACAGGAAATGTCACGACAATAAAACTCTCAGCCTAAGGACTTCATCCTCTTTTGACCAAGAGGCCGAAAGAGTTTGCAATTCTCCTCTTCCCCAATTTTATCCTTTTTTCCCTCCTCCAATCAAATGTGATTTTTTAAAAAAATAAAATAAAATGGAAAGGCTTATTTTTCGCAGGAAAAAAATGTACCTTTTGGGACCCTTTTAGCACACAATTTGAGATTTTAGTCTCATGCTTGACAATGTGGGGCGTCTCCCCTTAGCAAAACTGGAGTTGTAAAATCTTCAGGCAGAACAAAGGACTCTGGATTAGTTCTGAAGAGCCAGAGATAATACCCTGGTCAGAAAGAATAATAAACCTAGTGTATGTAAGGCCCGGGTGTCAAACTCGATTTCATTGAGGGCTGCATCAGGGTTGTGTTTGATCTCAGAGGGCCAGGTGGCTGTCGCTGACCCGTGTGACACGGGTGTCATGGGGGAAAACCTGTGGTGGCCAAGTGCTAAGGCAGGACTTCCCTGAGACCCTCCCTCACTGTCATCATAATCTTCCTTCCTTCCTTCCTTCCTTCCTTCCCATGGTGGTGCAGTGGTTAGAATGCAGTATTGCAAGCCAACTCTGCCCACTGTCTGGAGTTCGAACCTGACTGGCTCAAGGTTGACTTGGCCTTCCATCCTTCCCAGGTGGATCAAATTTTTCCTTCCCTCTTCATTCTAATTTCTTCTTCCTTCCCCTCTTTCCTTATTTTTCCTTCGTTCTCTCTTTCCATTTTTCTTTTCTTTTTTTCTTCTTCCTGCCTCCCGCAGCACTCTGTCAGCGAAAACAGGGCGCAGGGGGACTGCGCAGAGCCTCCCCCCCCCCGCGCCCCGTTTTCACTAGTAGAGCCACTGCAGGCCAGTCCTTTGTTATTTCCAGGCCGGCCCTATGGGCCAGATTTAAGCACCTTTGAGTTTGACAGCCCTGATGTAAGGCCTCATGTAAGATCTTCGCTATAGAGCTCATGCTCTTTAAATTAAAATTAAAAAAAAAAACATATTGAAGTAATCTCGTGGATCGTTATCCCAGGATCATTGATATTGTAAGATGGTCTTGAGGTTCAAAGCAGAAGGTTGCCTAGAAGTCCATCTAGAAGTCAATGGTGATGATCCTGCAAATTTTGAAAAAGTTGCATCTTCTAGAGCAGCGGCTCCCAACCTTTTGGGCACCAGGGACTGGTTCTGTGGAGAAAGGTTTTTCCACAGACTGGATGGGTGCGTGTTTCATGCGGTGCGTGTATCCTGCAGATGGGGGCGGGGGCTTCCCTTGTTTGCACGGACCAGTTTCTGGCATGCCAATCCACGGACCAGGGGTTGGAGACCCCCCTTCTAGAGCCTGTCTGGGATTGTTGAAGCGCTGATGGGAGGGGAGTGAAGTGCCTTTTCATTCATCTGTATCTTATGTCAGCGTTCTAGAAAAACCCAACTCTAATTAAAAACTCCGAGGCAAGCATTTTCTCAAAGTTCCATTTATTAGAGTAGGTATACTGGCACATCTGGGAAAACCCGAATCTGAGAGTTCCGGATTTTCCCTCAGTAAATCAAAAACCCCCAAAACCATCCCCTGCACCCATCAGTCCCATCACATGGTCCAATCATCATCCGTCCCATATCGAGACATCACTCCAACCACTCCTCCTCCAGATGCATGACCTTAACCGAAATGAAGAATGCTATTCTGTCTAACTACATTCCCTCTACTAAATCCCCCCTTTCCTACTTCCAGTGCTAATATGGCTTCCAAAGCTGACCTCTTACTGATACGCACATCTCACTCTACCTTGTGTTTGCCAGAGATTTCGAAAGTGTAGATTACAAAACTCAATGAACCTGGTTCTCCTTACAAATTGAATCGCCCAGAACTGGCTTGGCTGCCATCAGCAGCAAGCTTTTGTGTGCTGTTCCTTGATACGTTTCAAGCAGTGCAGAAAGATTAGCATGGCTTTTAGAAAGATTCTCTGCTTGATCAGAAGACTGATGCTGCCAAAGAGTGCCTTTGGTCATTGATTGGACTTCCTTCTCTGCTTCACCCCATGATCGCGTGAGTATTTCTAAACCTTGAGGGACCACTCCAGGGTTCACAGCTGCTAACCCTCCAGGGTTCATGGCTGCTAACCCTCGTAGTTAAAGGGAGTTGGGTGTATAATGTATAATGTATTATTTTCCAGTGAACACCATAAGCCTATTCCTCAGAAGCGGTACAATATTTTAAAGAATGTACTTCGATTTTTTAAATCATTGTTACAGTTTGGTTTCTCTTCGGATCGTATACTGTACAACTTTTGTCTTTTATATTAAAGATTGTGATTTGTTTTCTGTTTTTTTTAATTATATCTGGCAAGGCAAGATAGATCTTTACGAAACAGAAACCAGTTTAAACCTCGGGCATGTCTGTACTATTTCTAACTGGAGAAGGAACTCAAAGGATGACATGGTTTTTACGTGCTTACTCTTCCTCCTACATCGGGTGCCTTCTGGAGGTTTCAAAATGATCTCGGAACCAATGTAGACGGTCATCATGATGTACATGGCACCAGGTTGGAGAAAGGTGGAGTGTTCTGCCCCAGCTACGGACCCCAAAGAACACACCACACACAAAGTCTGTACAAAACTTAAATTTACTAAAATAACTCAGTCTTTTCCAAACGAAGGCTGTTAATAAACTTTCTTAACAGCCTACAAGAAACCAAAGATAAAGTAATCACAATCTAACCAAGGTTGGCAGAAAGCCCAGAAGCAATTTGCAGAGAATCCAGACGCGAAGGAGAATGAACTAAAGTTGTTCCCTACAAATTGCTACAGCCGGCATTCCTCCTTAAATAGGCTAAGGGAGTGGCCAATTAGCCCCAAGCCTTACTCTCGAGGAGACCTCCTCCTGAGGAGCCACTCCTGCCTTTTGGCAGCTCTGCGCACCCGTGCATCGAGAAGAGGCTCCTCTTCGTCCTCTTCACTTAAAGGAGCTTCTGGAGGTTCTGAAGGCCCTGGCTGAATCCCCGCCTCTGGCACCACATCTTCTCCAGCCTCCTCATTGTCCGACTTGAGTGCCAGCTGCACAGGCTGCTGACGCAGCACCACACCAGCCTCCTCGCTGTCGGAATCAGCTACAATCCGCACAGGCCGCTGACAGGCCACAACATGGAGGCAGTGTTTCTAGCTAGGACAAGGGTCTCCAACCTTGGCAACTTTAAGACTTGTGGACTTCCACAGGGGATCCCGGTCAAGTTGGAAATATGGAGTCAGAGTACTGAGACTCGCATCCAGCAGGATTTTGCATATGGTGAAGCAACAGCAAGAATCGTTGGGTCTGAGCATTGAGCTTTGAACTGCATTGTCTTGAAATCCTGCATCCTTAAGAGGAAGCTATGTGTCAAGGTTCCAAGTAACAGACACAATGCAATCAAACCTCTGAGGCTTAGGTGTTCCTCAAAGTACAGATTTATTAGGCCTGTCCTATTGGCACATCTGGTGAAAACCCAACTCTGAAGGTCCCGCGGTTTTTCCCACTCAAATTAAAAGTCAAAGTTCTTTCCCCCAATCCGCATGTCCATCACATGGTCCCATCCGGTCACAGCCCCAACTCCAGTTGGTTCCAGTCCACGCCTCCCCAGCACCTGGTGAGATTGTCCTTGGTTCCCAAGAAAAAATTATATTTTGGCTACAAGTTCCCAGCTATCTCTATTCCCTTCCCCACCCCCCACCCCATTCTATTCCCACAGCTCCAACCAGCCCTGCTGTGGCATCCTTGAAGATGCTCCAAAAATGGCTTCAGGGTTGACACCATTGTTTCCTCTAGGGCAGCGGTCCCCAACCTTGGCAACTTTAAGACTTATGAACTTTTAACTCCCAGAATTCTGAGAGTTGAGATCCAAATCTTAAAGTTGCCAAGGCTGGAGACCCCTGAGCTAGGATATGGATTTTTTTCCTGTTATGCCAGCTACTCTTAAATGTGCAGGGACTGTTTTGTAAAGAAGGTGATTCAGTCATAAAATGTTCAGTTACTGACTGACATTTGGTAACTCAGGTAGGTCTTCATACCTGAGGTTGTTTTTTTTTTTGGTTATGAAAACCAGACCTCTGGCTATTTATAGTGACGTAGAATAAAAATTGCAATCTATTTTTGATATACTGAAGTAGATGCTTTTCAAATAAAACAATGGTATTATAAAGACCCAAAACGCGTGATTGAATACCATCTTATCCTGTCTCGTGGCCGCCAGCTCTGTAAACCATGCTTAAGGGGAAAATTTTTTTTTTAATTTGATTTATATGCCGCCCTTCTCTGAAGACTCAGGGCGACTTACAATGTGCTCAGCAAATTTGTCCTGGGGGGGGGCATATGCAGAACATCTGGAAGAGGCCTTATGCAGAAACACTGCTGGAGTTGTAGTTCGCTGGAAGGTATTTATCGGAACTAATCACCCAGCCGAAATAGCATTAGCACTTAGACTTATATACCGCTTCATAGTCCCTTTACAGCCCTCTCTAAGCAGTTTACAGAGTCAGCCTACTATCCCCAACAATCTGGGTCCTCATTTTACCCACCTCGGAAGGATGGAAGGCTGAGTCAACCTTGAGCCTGGTGAGATTCGAACTGCCAAATTGCAGGCAGCCGGCGATCAGCAGAAGTAGCTGCAGTACTGCACTCTAACCACTGTGCCACCACGGCTCAATAACAGTTGTAAACTAATAAATCAACAGCACACCACTGGGTGTCACTTGAACATCGGGTGCTATCTAACGAAATTCAATGGTGAAAAAAGTAAGGTTCTATATTTAGGCAAGAAAAACAAAATGCACAGGTACAGTATAGGTGGTACCTCACTCAATAGTAGTAAATGTGACAGGGATCTTGGAGTCCTAGTGGACAAACATTTAAATAGGAGCCAGCAGTGTGCAGCAGCTGCCAAAAAAGCCAACACAGTTGTAGGCTGCATAAACAGGGATAGAATCAAGATCACATCAAGTGTTAATACCACTTTATAAGGCCTTGGCGAGGCCACACTTGTAATGCTGCATCCAGTTTTGGTCGCCATGATGTAAAAAAGATGTGGAGACTCTAGAAAGAGTGCAGAGAAGAGTAACCAAGATGATTAGGGGACTGGAGGCTAAAACATGAAGAACAGTTGCAGGAACTGGGTATGTCTAGTTTGATGAAAAGAAGGACTAGGGGAGACATGATAGCAGTCTTCCGATATCTCAGGGGCTGCCACAAAGAAGAGGGAGTCAAGCTATTCTCCAAAGCACCTGAGGGCAGGACAAGAAGCAATGGGTGGAAACTCATCAAGGAGAGAAGCAACCTAGAACTAAGGAGAAATTTCCTGACAGAACAATGAATCAGTGGAACAACTTGCCTCCAGAAGTTGTGAATGCTCCAACACTGGAAGTTTTTAAGATGTTGGATAACCATTTGTCTGAAGTGGTGTAGGGTTTCCTGCCTGGGCAGGGGATTGGACTAGAAAACCTCAAAGGTCCCTTCCAACTCTGTTATTCTATTCACCAAATTTGAAGAGTGTGCCCGGGGGATGTTGCACAGAGAGGTCTGGAAGAGAGGCTTTAAACTGCTGGACACCAGTGTGTCAAGTATTGGTTGTGGGGAAGGGATTTCTTTTTTGCAGGTCCAATATTCATCATCAATTGTGAATAAGTCACAACAAGGCTGAAATGGTTCAAAATGCTGCTTGGTTATGGACAGTTTTGCATCCAAGCCCAGGAAGGGATTTCACACAATATATTTCATTGACAGACCTGATCAGTTCCATGACGCATCTCTTCTGCTGGAAAAATATTTATTTACACTCTTTTTAATACATATACAAATGTCTACAAGCACCAACATCTTTTAAATCCAAAGGAACGTGCCAGGGGCGGGCTAAGCTCACATGAAGTTCTATTTTCCTAACATTTGTCAGGATTCAATATCGGCAGGGATGCTTTTTTGAAATTCCAAAATAGTTTCATTCACATTGACCATCCTCTTTTCCCAGAATCTAGATTGAGGCTGTTTTTTGGGGGGCAGTCATGCCTTGCAAATAATTTTTAAAAAAATGATTTAGGTTTGCCTTTCTTTTTTAATACAAAATGGTGAATATGGTTCTTTCTTACTGTACTGGCTTAAAACACTACAATTTCATCCTCTTTTGGACAGCTGGGCACCATGCTTGTCCAATACCAGTATCCTTTTTAAATAAGAGATGTGGAATTTTTAAACTCTAAACCCTTCTGTACACCATTCCTTCATAAAGCATTCTTTTCTGCAGTTTAAAGGTAAAGGTTCCCTTCGCACATATGTGCTAGTCGTTCCCGACTCTAGGGGGCAGTGCTCATCTCCATTTCAAAGCCAAAGAGCCAGCGCTGTCCGAAGACATCTCTGTGGTCATGTGGCCGGTATGACTCAATGCCAAAGGCGCACGGAACGCTGTTACCTTCCCACCAAAGGTGGTCCCTATTTTTCTACTTGCATTTTTTAACGTGCTTTCGAACTGCTAGGTTGGTAGAAACTGGGACAAGTAACGGGAGCTCACCCCGTTACGTGGCACTAGGGATTCGAACTGCCGACCTTCTGATCGACAAGCTCAGCATCTGAGCCACCGCGTCCCTTTTCTGCAGTTTAGCCAAGGCTAAACGTGCTTCTTTCAGCAATCATGATTCCACTTATGTATATAAAAAGAAGAAAAAAATGGAGATAAATGTTGAGCCTGTGAATGACAAAAAAAGTTCTGAACATTTTTCAAATCTGCACTGAACCTCGATGTAGATAATAGGGAAGGCCCCGGGATAGAGCTGGATAAGTAGTAAGTTGGCCATTGCTTGAGTGGGGAGCCCTACATCAGTTGATGGAAAGCTGTTCCGGATTCCTCCCCTTTTGTCCAGGAGATCCAGAAGTGAAAATGAAGACCGGCCTTTTCACCTCTTAGGACCGCCACATCTTGCTATAATGAAAGGCATAAGAGCAAAACTCCATGTATTCGTGCCTGGCGAGCATTAAGGCCTTCACCTGTCGCGAAACTCAAATCTGACCAATAAAAATTGAATCCTGAGCGAATTAAGGTCCATGATACATGCATGCAACGCTGTTTGAAAATGTTCCTGTCAGAATATTCATGACTAGGAAGACATGGTAACAAGGTCAGCCAATGAATAGGCATGGCAACAGATCAGCCAATGGGAGCTGAAACAGTTTGGAGTCTGGGCGTGGCTCAGCTCTGAGTCTGTGCAAAAAGGAAACTGAAACTAGTCTGCGCTCTGGAGCTGCAAACAAGTCCGAACTAGTCTAGTCTGCCTCTCTGAACTGATCTGAAACTGAAGAACCACTCTTGGTATTGTATATATTACTTCATGTGCTGTTATGTATATAAAGAAGTTAATGAATCCTGCTGAATCAGTTTACCTGTGTGTGCTTTCTGGATTTGATTTTGCAACAAACTCAGACACTTCCAAGATTCCTTTTGCTGTTGGTTCCAGACAGTTCTCCCAACATGTTCTTCAGAACTTCCTCCTCATCCTCCTGATAACACTGGATCAAGCATCTTTCCCCATGTTTTGGCTTCAAGACAGTGAAGATAGCAAACCATCAAAGGGCATCATTCCAAAGAAGGTCATAATTGCCTTAAACGGCAGCAACAATCCATTCGGAGCAGTCCCAAGGCCTATCTGAACAGCTTCTGCCCATTCTTGCTGTATGATGTACCAAATTCCATATTATCTCCTTCACTGACTGCAGCTGACCGCTGGATGGTCCAGTTTCCACAACTGCCACTTCTTCTTCATTTCAGATTTCACCTGGAACAACAAGAATGTTTGAGAGTTTATGTTTCTTTCTGTGCCTCACAGCATTTAACTCTGCCTACCCAGGGGACACGGTGGCTAAGACGCTGAGCTTGTCGATCGAAAGGTCAGCAGTTCAGTGGTTCGAATCCCTAGCGTCGCGTAACGGGGTGAGCTCCCGTTACTTGTCCCAGCTTCTGCCAACCTAGCAGTTTGAAAGCACATTAAAAAATGCAAGTGGAAAAATAGGGACCACCTTTGGTGGGAAGGTAACAGCGTTCCGTGCGCCTTTGGTGTTGAGTCATGCCGGCCACATGACCACAGAGATGTCTTCGGACAGCGCTGGCTCTTCGGCTTTGAAACGGAGATGAGCACCGCCCCCTAGAATCGGGAACGACTAGCACGTATGTGCGAGGGGAACCTTTACCTTTACCTTTAGGCTTCTTCTTGTAAGCTTACAGTAACTCTGTAAAGCTGAAATCCTACACTCCCATACTGCTCATCTCCGCTCGGTGTCCGTGAGTTTTTTGGACACATATGTGCAAGGAAGCAGCCACCCTTGGGGGTCTTCCAGGAGGAGCACTGCTGTCACTGTAACGTCGCTGGCGTCAGCCTGGACAATGAACTGCCTATCTGGGTCTGGGTGCTGAAGGATGGGCTCCTCTGCAAACCTTCCCTCTTTTTTTTAAAAAAAAAGAAACATAGCCAATTAAGATGCTCTTAATTGCTCTCAGTTTAGACAAGCAAAATTGGCCAGGGAATACTGGGAGTTGAAATCCGTATTTTTTAAATTTGCCATGATTGAGAAACTCTGGTACAGACCATCTCTGCAAGTGCCATTTTAATCTAAAATTGGGAGATAGCCTGAAGGGACCCTCTGAAACGGTTCAGAATTAGTGATGGGTCAAGAGAGGTGGAGGAGGAGATACTCACTTCCTTATTGGCAAAGCAGTAGAGAACAGCAACCAGAAACCCCTGTAGGAGATAGAACACGTTATCTATTAGACACATCTGTCACGATACTTAAAACTGTGGTGATTGGGCATTGGGTCTGGATTAAGATAGACAATCAGAATTGTGGTCCCTTCCCACTCTACAACTATTGTCTCTTAGATTTAATTCTAAAAAATTTCATGCACTCCAGAGCCAAATCAGGTTCAGATCAGGGGTGAAATGTTCCCGGTTCGGACCCGATCCCCCGATCCGGTAGCGGTGGTGGGTGGTTCAGAAATCCCTGCCCCCCCCAATGCCCAGCTGAGCCATGCAATCATCAGAGGCTTTTTTTAAAAAAACTTTTAAAAGCATTTGTTCTACAATATCTGAAAGATAAATCGGAATGGCACTGAGGTGATAGTTACCTGGAAGGAGTTGAGGAAAAGTGTGAAGAAAACTTTGATGTAGCGCAAGATTCCCGTGGTTTGCTCATCCGTGGCAAAGATGAAGACCACTTCATGGATCCCAAAGAGAGGGATGAGGGTGAGGGTGGCCTTGGCTAACCTGGAAGAGAGCGTGGAGATGTCAGAATTAATAGGGCAGAATCAGGCCCTAGATACAACCTTCTGTTAGGAAGCCACAATCAGCCACCATTGCTGGCCTGGAGATGTCAACTCACCTCAGTTTATAATCCGCGTAGTCCTTCTGACTAGCCCGTAATTTAGCCAAGATCACTTTGAGAATTTGCATGAAAATCAACAGATTAATCTGGGAAGAAAAAGGGAGCATGCATTAGAAGATGACTGAGATTTCCGAACAAATATTTTCATTACAGAATAAGGTTAAAAAGATGAAATCAGTAATGATTTCGTATTTGCTGAAATCTTGAGAAAGCAATTTTGAAAACCTATTCCAGGCATCGAAGCAGTTCCTTAACTCCATTGATTAGATATTCAAACTTCAATAGAGCAACTGAAACTGGAAAAAGAAGAACCTTTCTACAATAAAATATTTATTACGCAGGTAGTTCTCAATTTACGACCGTTCACTGAGCCCAAAATTTCTGTTGCTAAGTGAAACAATTGTTAAATTTGTGAATTTTGTCCCATTTTATGACCTTTCTTGCCATTCTGATTAAATGAATCACCGCAGTTGTTAAATTACTAATATGGTTATTAAGTGAATCTGGCTTCGCTATTGACTTTGCTTATCAGATGGTCGCAAAAGGGGATCACATGCAGTGGTGAGTTGCCCCCGGTTCGGACTGATTCTATAGAACCGGTAGTAAAACTGGCTGGAGGCTCCGCCCACCGACCCCGACGTCATCAGGAAGCTTCTACGCATGAACTAGAATTTCACAAAATTTCTGATTGCACCACGTCCCCTCATTTTCCTTCCATTCCAACCGGAGTAGTGCTTACCGTAGATGCCAGTAGAATAGGAATACGAATAATCCACCAGTAAGCCATGTTCTCATTAACACCCCAGCACCTGCAGTATACAAAATAAGGCAACCATTAGACATGCCTGTTTTTTGGTTGTTTTGGGGGCAATTTTCTGGCTGTTTTTCAGGCCATTTTCAGGCCAAAAACAGGCCTGAAAATGGCCCAAAAAACTGCCTGAAAATGGCCCCAAAAATGGTCTGTTCTTTGGCTGGTTTTAGGCTGTTTTCTGGCACTCCTGCACCTGCAAAGACCAGCTGGCGGGTGCGCCAGAAGAGCATCTGGTGACGGCGCGTGCCCACAGAGAGGGCTCACTGCGTGACGGTGCCATAGGTTCACCATCACAGCTTTAGCGGATTCCGACTTCCATGGCCACCATCCTGCTGCCTTATCAACCAACACCTTTTCGCTTTCTGTCCCCTTTGTGATTCTTCTTTGTGCCGTTTCTAAGGTCTCAACATCATTTTGGGATGGTGGTGATGCTATGCCAACTTACAAGTCCTACAGCATGCAGAACTAAGGTCTGTTTGGCCCAGACTTTGCTCTGCAGTGCTCATTTCAAGCATCCCCAATTCTAGCATCTTTAGAATAACCCAACATCTTCCCCTCTCCCATCCATGATAGGAATCTTATGAAATAGTTGACACATTTTCTTTGTTACAAATGGTTCAGATCTGGAGGAAAAGTACCCGTATTTTTCGGACTATAAGATGCACCGGTGTATAAGATGCACCAAGATTTCAAAGAGGTAAGCAAGAAAAAAAATGTTTTGCCCTCCCCGGGCCCCGAGGAGCAGTTTGCAGGCCTCCCAAACTCTTTGAGGTCCTGTTTTTGCACAAAAGCTGGCCCCTTTTTCGCAAAAAAACAGAGTTGGTTTTGCCCTGCCCAGCCCCCAGGAGCACTCTGCAGGCCTCCCAAAGCCTCTGCACATCCTGTTTTTCACAAAAATGAAACAAGCGGGGTGGTGCTTTTGGCCTCCCGAAGCCAAAGCCTTATATTCGGTATATAAGACGCACCAACATTTCCACTCTCTGTTAGGGAGTAAAAAATAGTCCATCTTATACTCCAAAAAGTATGGTACTTTTTCCTCCAGAAAGGTTGTCAAAGAAGACAGCAAAAGGGTGACATTGTCTACCATCTACATGAGCTTCATAGGTAGGTAGGTAGGTAGGTAGGTAGGTAGGTAGGTAGGTAGGTAGGTAGGTAGGTAGGTAGGTAGATAGAAGAGATAGATAGATAGATAGATAGATAGATAGATAGATAGATAGATAGATAGATAGATAGATAGATGATAGAAGAGATAGATAGATTGATAGATTGATAGGTAGATAGATTGATTAGATAGATTGATAGATAGATTGATAGATGATAGGTAGGTAGGTAGGTAGGTAGGTAGGTAGGTAGGTAGATAGATAGATAGATAGATAGATAGATAGATAGATAGATAGATAGATAGATAGATAGATAGATGCTTAAAAGTGGTTTCCACCCAGTATCTCCAGACTCACTCTTTGTTTTCCTTCAAGTATTTGGCAGCCATCCAGGGTACCACAAAGGCCACAGGGGTCCCTATTTAAAAAAAAAAAAAAGGAAAAACGATCATGGGAATCAGCCAGCAAGTTGTGTCAGATATGAACAACCAGATCCACATGTGAAGAATTCAATTAGCCACTTTATTGCTTATTGCTACATCACAAGAACCTTCCCAGACTGGCAGTTTGCATCTGGGCTAGACAAGTGAAAATTCAACAGCATTTAAAGGGTGGGTGTTGGGCTTTGCCCTTTTGCGCCTTTGTGAAGATTCCAGGCTAATTCCCCGTTTGACTCCTCCTCCCCCTCCTAGCTTGGCCAGTCTCTCTTTTACAAGTTGGTTCCTGCCTCCTGTTTTATTTTACTGGTTTTTCTTAGGTGCTGAAAACATTGCACCCAAGAAATAAGTCTCAAGATTCCGTAAGCCATTGAACTGATCCAATTTAAAGAGGGGAAATGGCCTAGGGGAATGCAAATCTGGCAATTTGGAATCGGTTCTGCAGATTTTAAAATGGCACCATAAAATGCTTTCTATTATTCTGACTCAAGGAACGAGAGAGAAAAAAAAACTAAAAAGAAAAAAATAAAGGACGGACGAACGGACGGAAAAGGATACAGGTAGACTTTTTATTATTATTATTATTATTATTATTATTATTATTATTGTTGTTGTTGTTGTTGTTGTTGTTGTTGTTGTTATTATTATTATTATTATTATTATTATTATTATTATTATTATTATTATTATTATTATTTATTCAATTTGTATCCCGCCCTTCTCCTAGTGGACTCAGGGCGGTGCACAGCCAGAACTAAAACACATACCAATACAAAATTTTAAATTTTAAAAGAATTATATAACTGTGGCCCAAAATTTAAAACATTGAAACTAAAACCCATTTGACAATTTAAAAGGCTAAAAAAAAGGGGGGGGGTTTCACACCAGCCCTGCTTGATGGAAAAGAAAAGTTTTTAGGGCATTGGAGATCCGATATCCTTCGTATCTCTGGGGGCAAATCGTTCCAGAGGGCAGGAGCTGCCACAGAGAAGGCCCTCCCCCTGGGGGTCGCCAGCCGACATTGCCTGGCTGACGGCACCCTGAGGAGTCCCTCTCTGTGGGAGCGTACTGGTCGGTGGGAGGCTATCAGCGGCAGAAGGCGGTCCCTTTGACTGATAATCATTTGTTTAGCGACTGTTTGAAGTTACAATGACACTGAAAAAGCGACTCCACGGCCAGTCCCTACAACCAGTTACAGCATCCCTATTTTACATACGGAGTCGAACTATTAGCTGCAAACACCTCATTTCTGTGCTTGAAAACAAAGGTTGGAAGGATGATCCCATCTCATCTCCATCTGCCTCCCCAAAGGTATCCTGAATGTAATGGGGGCTTCTCTACCATGATGTCCTCCAAATATGTTGTGCATAATGGGGAAGACTGAAATTATTTGAATCCTGCCCCCCCACCCCCAACATTAAAGGAACCAAACCATCTCCTTCCCTCATTTCATCTCACCCCAGCCAAGGTAGAGGTACAGCGTGTAGTAATTCTTCTCTGAAAACACGGCACCAATCAGCAGCTTGTATAGGTAGACGGCCTCCACCAGAAACCAATAGTGATTGGCTAGAATGCAGTACTGCATCAAGACCTGAGCCACCCGGCAACCAATGGCAGCCTAAGAGAAGGAAAGCAGAGAAAAGAGCCGTGGAAAGAGTGGCACGGATGATGTTACCTGGTTTGATAATGAAATATCTGCAAGAAAACCACCAAGTTTAGAGAGCACCAAGGACTCCACAGCTTCTCCTTCTCCTTCTCCTTCTCCTTCTCCTTCTCCTTCTCCTTCTTCTTCTCCTTCTCCCTTCTCCTTCTCCCTTCTCCTTCTCCTCCTCCTCCTGCTTTTGCTCCTTCTTCTCCTTCTCCTCCTTCTCCCTTCTCCTCCTGCTCCTGCTCCTTCTTCTCCTTCTCCTTCTTCTCCTGCTCCTTCTCCTCCTCCTCCTTCTCCTTCCTCTCCTCCTTCCCCCTCCCTCCTCCTCCTCCTCCTCCTCTTTGCAAACCCTACTCCCTTCTATTACTGATGATGTCACCTAGTTGGGTCATGAAACATCTGCAAGAAAACCACCAAGCTCAGAGAGCACCAAGGACTCCACAGTTCAACTCTGACTTACAAATATTCTCTTCTATTGGAATAGCCATTTACTTCTCCAAAAGAAGGATATTTTGAGGACAACCTGATTAGTATTTGGATGAGAAATCACTGGAATATTTTAAGTGTGGCCTTCACTTCCAAAATCACCTTCAGACCCAGCCACAGTGGGTTTCCAGGATATAAGAAAGGAATTTTTTTGCAGCTCTCTTGAAGATAACTGTGGAACTGAACTGAAGACTTTGGTATTCCCAGCAAGTATTCTGAAGGGAAGATGTCACTCCATTTCAAGTCTTAAAATAGACAACTTCTACCAGGCTGGACAGCTTCAGTATGCATGATATGAACTTATTAGCTTTCACCCCAGTAGCAAAATACTAAGCTAAGATAGTTCTAGTGCAGATCCTATCCGAATCATTCTTCACATCCATCTAGTCCACACCTTACTCTAAACTGTAACGTAAGTAGTTTTGGCTTAGTTTGTTGGGTGAATTCAGATGATAATGATTTGCAAACCAAGGATCATGTCTCAGCAAGTCCTGTAGGCCCAGCCAATTGTGGTTTATTCAACTAGTCATGGCATCTCGTGTTTAATGTGTGGAATCAGCTGGATCCAAGGAGAAGTTTGATGTAGGCTACAAGTCTTTGTAGGACAGGAACGTAAAGTCTGTGGATATTCTCAGTCACCCAGGTCATGGTTGTCCCAAAGGTGCTTTTTCAGGAGGCAACTGGACTTTCTTGTGAAGATGTTTCACTTCTCAATCAAGAAGCTTCTTCAGCTCTGACAGGACAGTGGGGAATGGAAGGATTTATATTCCTTGCGGGGAGCTGGTCATCTGCATCCTTTCAGAGGGTCGATGAAGCACTTGGAGGTTTACCTGTGTCCTCAGGGTCATCTGAGTTAGTGCTCCAGGTTCCTGTTGTCTACAATTTCTCCTCTGGCAATCCATTCCTACTCCCACACCATTCCAAGGATGTTCATCCCAAGTTGAATAGCTAAAAGTCTGTAGTCATCCAGGTCACTGTTGTCCCAAAGATGCTTTATCAGGAGGCAACTGGACTTTCTTGTAAGAAAGTCCAGTTGCCTTCTGAAAAAGCACCTTTGGGTTGACAGGAACTTAACTCCCACTGGAGGATAAGGAAGAAGCCTCTCATCCCCTGGGCAATGGCTGCCCGACAATCCTTGTGCTCTCCTGGCTTAAAACCTATCACTATGAGAAGACCTGAGGAAAAAACCCTTCTGAGATCTTTTAACTTCCACTGTCTGAAACTTCCCTTAGGAAGACGGTACTTACCTCGTGACTCAATAAGTCTTCCCAGTCAGACATCTGAAAGGTCTCCCTTCCCCACATCTTCTCCAGCAACGCATCCTTCGCAATCACCGATATGGCCCGTAGACCAAAGGAAGCAAAAAGATTAGCGTGAATATAATTCCGAGTGCAGCGAAGTCTCCTGAAAGACCAAGGGAACATGACCATCATCAATAGGCAAAGTTGCCAATGATTAAATCAGCGAATAGAAAATATCTTTGATGGTGAGAACCTTCATTATATGGTGGAATCAACTGGAGGAAGAGTTTCCTCTTATTGGGGGCTTTTCAAGGAGAATTGAGCTGCCATGTGTTTGGAGTGATCTACAACAGAGGTGTCCAACCTTGACAAATTAAGACTTGTGGACTTCAACTCCCAGAATTCCCCAGCCAGGAAAGCTGGCTGTTCTGACCTACGCTTCCTGAGACAGTAAAAAGCACACGATTAGTCCCAAAAACCCTCTTTTTATTTCAACGGCTTATGTTCATTCGAAGCCCGTAATTAGTCACAAATAGTTTGTAAAGAGTCCGACAGAAGTCTGCCACAGTCCTTCGGGATAAGGCTGATAAGCATCCGCCTTTATCTTCCGTGACACACTGCCGAAGACCTAACTGGCAATTAGCTTTGCAAAGCCACACGGAGCACAGAGTCAAAACAGAGCTGCAGAATTTAAACCGACAAGAATGAACAAAGTTGCTTCCTGCAAAGGCTCGCGTGCCTTTGCTCCTCCTTTATGTCTTATGGGAGGGGCCAATCATCTCCAAGCCTTACTCCTGAGTTGCCCCTTTTGTCTTAACTGTTCTTGCCTTCTGGCAGCTCTGCGCATGTGTGCACTGGGAACAGGCTCCCCCTGTTCCTCTACCTCGCTGATGTCCGACTCTGGAGGCTCCAGAGGCAGCACATAACTCTCAGATGGCCCTGGCCTCCTCTCTGCTTCTGCCTCTGACGCAGAGCCCTCGTCCGAGCCTTCCCCAGACTCCAGGACTGGCCCATGTTCCTCCCCAGCCTCCTCACTGTCTGACTCTGCTACCAGCTCTGCATGCCGTCGACGGACCACAACACTGGCTGGGGAATTCTGGGAGTTGAAGTCCACAAGTCTTAAAGTTGCCGAGGTTGAACACTCCTGGTCTGAAGAACCTTATATTTTGATGAAAGAGTCTCAAGAGAAGGAGCTCTTCCATTTTATTTTGTGTTAGTATGCAGCCCTGGTGCCGTATTTTAAGGAGAATTCAGAGAAGCTGGAGCAGATTCAGACAACGCCAACAAGAATAAAAGGAAGGTCAAAAAGTAAACGTTACAAAGAAAGGCAGAAAGAGATGGATATATTTAGCCCTGAGCAAAATGGCTAAAAGAAAATAGGCCAGCTAAATCTTTTTAATTCTTGAAAAGATATCACAAAGAACGAAGGTCAAGATTTGGTCTTCATTATTTCAGAGTGTTGGAAACTGAATAATGGATTTAAGATACAGAAAGGAAAACTCCAGTTTAATTTTAGGAAAAAGGTTGAAATAATCCCTGTATTAACTACTAATAGAAGAGAATATTTGTAGCTGTGGGGTCCTTGATGCTCTCTGAGCTTGGTTGTTTCTTGCAGATATTTCATTATCAAACTAGGTATCATCATCAATGCACAGTGAGGGAAGGACCCCATTCTATTTCACTGTTTCACAACCTGGGCAAATTTTAAGATGTGTGGAGTTCAACTCCCAGGCATTTCCAGACAGCTCTATGCTGGCTAAGGAATTCTGGGAGTTGAAATCCACATATTTTTAGAATTGCTAAGGTTGAGAAAAGGGACATGGTGTCTCAGTGGCTAAGACGCTGAGCTTGTCGATCAAAAGGTTGGCAGTTCAGCGTTTGAATCCCTAGCGCTGCATAATGGAGTGAGCTCCCGTTACTTGCCCCAGCTTCGGCCAACCTAGCAGTTCGAAAGCACGCAAAGAATGCAAGTAGAAAAATAGGGACCATCTTTGGTGGGAAGGTAACAACATTCTGTGCGCCTTTGGTGTTGAGTCATGCTGGCCACATGACCATGGAGATGTCTTCAGACAGCGCTGGCTCTTCGGCTTTGAAATGGAGATGAACATTGCTCCCTAGAGTCAGGAACGACTAGCACATATGTGAGAGGGGAACCTTTACCTTTACCTACACTGCACTTGTGGTCTCAACCTTCTCCAAATTTGGTGCTTGCTCAGCTATCGTGGGAAGCATTACCTGAAGACAGTCAGGATGAGTAGAGCCAAGGTCAGGGCCAGGAGCGACAGAGAGTAGCCCACTGTGTAGAGGACTTTGAAGCTGACCATCAGGCGATGAGCTGCTTCCTACAGAAGAAAGAAAGAGGTCTATCAAGCAGGTGAAAAGGAGCCGTAGCCCACCGATTGCATTTTGGGGTGGAGGGGAGGTAGCAGCATGGGTGTGGGAGAGGAAGAGGATCATTTTAGCGTAGAGCAAATCAACTTACTGTTTTCACCATGAAGTACAACAAACCAGAGCACTCATTGTAGTGGGGAAAAGATCTATGTCCTATGCATACTTTTACCAATGTAAAATTGAAACGGCTAACCAGAAATCAAACACACTCCATTTTTCATCAGTTATACGTTGTCTTATCTAAAGCAGACTTCCTCCCTCCCTCCCTCCCTTTCAAGAGGGGCCCAGTTGCCTCCTGAAAAAGCACCTTTGGGACATTCATCATACAATTTAACTTCCAGACCCCTCATCATCCTTGTTGTTCTTCTGCACTCTTTCTAGGAACTCAACATCTTTTTTTTTTTTTTTGGTATCTTGGTGACCAGAATTGGATGCAAGTGTGGCCTCAACTAATGCAGTTTGGCGTGGTAGAATCACTTCTCGGGACTATTGAAACTATTCCTCTCTCAATATCTGAAGAGCATCCCTCGTAAATCATTACCCTGACATGCCACTCAGTTCCAAGTGACTTTGTTTCTCACCTCTTTCGTGGTGGTTTCCATCTCTTCGATACACTGGACGTGATCCCGCCAGAACGCCGTCCCGTTCAGCAGCACCCAGTTCCCGTCAAGCCCACATTGGCGGCTCACGACCCCATGTTTAACTGCAAGCACAAATAGTCAGAATCAGCAAGGACTCTACATCTGTCTCCTTGATTTTCACCCCTTGTCCTATAGGCAGAAAAGAAGGAGTCAAAGACAGGGATGATTAGGGGACTGGAGGATTAAACATACAGTGAACGGTTGCAGGAACTGGGCCTGGCTAGTCTGGTGAAGAGAAGGACCAGGGGAGACATGAGAGCAGTCTTCCAGTATTTGAGGGGCTGCCACAGAGAGGAGGGAGTCAAGCTATTTTCCAAGGCACCTGAAGGCCAGACAAGGAATAATGGATGGAAACTGACCAAGGAGAGATTCAACCTGGAAATAAGGAGAAATTTTCTGACATTGAGAACAATCAACCAGTGGAACAGAAGTTGCCTTCGGAAGTTGTAGGAGCTTCATCCCTGGAGGCTTTCAAGAAGAGACTGGACTGCCATCTGTCAGAAATGGTGTAAGGTCTCCTGCTTGGTTGGGGGGGATGAACTAGATGACCTACAAGGTCCCAACTCTGTTAAATCTGTTTTTGAGTTGGAGTTCCTAGAGAAGCCCTTTTTCATAGGGCCTCTCTAGGAGTTCATCCCTCACAGACCCATTCAGTGTCAATTACCATGACATGGGTGATGGGGTGAGAGAGGCTGTCTGGACCAGATACTGTATTTTTCAGAGTATAAGATGCTCCGGACTATAAAACGCACCTACCTTTTTTGGTGAGGAAAACAAGAAAAAGAAATCTGCCTCTGCCTCCCAGCAATTTTGCCTCGTTGCGGCAAACAGCAAACAGCCTGCTTTACTTTCATTTTCGTTTTCAGCATAGCTTGATTAGCACAAGAAGAAAAAAAAAACCCTGCTCCCAGCAATTTATCTCCTTGCAGCAAGCAGCAGAGGCCCAGGCAAAACAGCTGAGAGCAAAACAGCTGAAAGTCAGGAGGCCAATCCTACGGACAATCAACTTGTGCTAATTAGGCTGTGCTGAAGCTGAAAAGAGCTGTTTCTTCTTGCTGCTTGCTACAAGGAGGTAAATTGCTGGGAGGCAGAGGCCAAAGGGTGGAGGCCAGTGGGTGGGCGGGGCTACATTCGCTGTATAAGATGCATCTAAATTTCCACCCCCTTTTAGGTGGGGTGGGGAAAGATGCGTCTTATACTCCGAAAAATACGGTAACTGGGTTAAGGTGTCTGTGCAACTGATTAATCTGCAGCCATTCTGATTAAATGTGCTCTGTAAGCAGAATCTTTGAGTCATTAAAAGGGAGTTTTGCATTAGTCATCATCTTCCCACATGAGGCTCTCAAGAAGCCAGAGTGGGAAGCAACGAAGAGAGGGAGAGATTACATGTGCGAATAGACAACTCACGTGGCCAGAAGTCTCTGACCTGAAAAAGCCCCTTTGGGACAACCGTGACCTGGATGACTGAGAATCTTTACAGACTTTTAGCTATGCAATTTGGGATGAGCCCCCTTTGAATGGCGTGGGAGTAGGAAGGGATTTCCAGAGGAAAAAATGGCAGACTGCAGGAACCAGGAGAACTAACTCGGGTGACCCTGAGGACACAGATAAACCTCCAAGTGCTTCATCGACCCTAAAAAAGGTTAGGAAATCTTGGGCAGTGAAGTCCCCCAACTTTTAAGGGCACCTCAGGTTAGAAGAAGGCTGTTTTGAAGAGTCCCACCAAGAGGTTCAAACCAGGGGTGGGTTCTAAATTTTTTTACTACCAGTTCTGTGGGTGTGGCTTATTTTGTGGGTGTGGCTTGGAGGTCATGTGACTAGGTGGGCATGGCTAGCTGGTCAGAGTCATTTCTGGAAGGTCCTCGCACTTATGACCAGTCCTCACACTTACGACCCGACTCATTTGTTTGCTTTTAACACTGATCAGCTGTAGGGAGGCCCTTTGAAGCCCCGCGGCAAGAGTTTAAACAGTTTTTTTCCCTCTAGTCATCAGCTGGGACTCAGGAGGCAGCAATAGATTGGGGGTGGGGCCAAATAAAAGGTAAGAATAATGTGGGGGGGTGGGAGGGCGGGGGGGAGAACCGGTTCGGTGACGTCATATTGTCACCTCTACCAGCTCGGCCGAACCGGACCAAACTGGGAGGAACCCACCACTGGTTCAAACATCTCAAGAGCTTTAGAACCTAGAGAGGCTCAGCGTCCTTCATACAACCTTTTTTTTTATTCCTGAGGATCAACGTGGGACCAAAAAGGGACATGGTTAGAATCTTTAAGAGGTCCCAAGTGCTATACTTTGTGGGTTGGTTGGCAGATATGCACAAGAAGGTTTTCACACAACATAAAGAACACCTGTCCAATATTTGAGGGGCTGCCACAGAGAGGAGGGGGGGTCAAGCTATTTTCCAAGACACCCGAAGGCCAAACAAGGAATAATGGATGTAAACTGACCATGGAGAGATTCAACCTGGAAATAAGGAGAAACTTTCTGACAGAGCAATCAATCTATGGAACAGAAGTTGACTTCGGAGGTTGTGGGAGCTTCATCACTGGAAGCTTTCAAGAAGAGACTGGACTGCTATTTGTCAGAAATAGTGTAGGGTCTCCTGCTTGGATGGGGGGTGGACTAGATAACCTACAAGGTCCCTTCCAACTCTGTTTATCTGTATCTGTAAACACTGTGTTCTATTAAGTCTACAATCATCTGCTTTTCTTCTGATAGCCACCAGATGGAGAAGTTATCAAAGAATGCCTTACTGAGTAGCCTAGAAAGGGTCTAGCATTCTCACTGGGGGATATCTGGGGGATTCTAGGAGTTGATACCTGGTAGATTTTTTTTAAAAAAAAAATTATTTAATCAGTTAGTTCAATTTGAGTGCTTCCCAGATCCAACCAACTCTATCAAAAGATACCAGGTGATGATTTAAAGCAGAAGTAGGCAGAAGATAGGTTAGGATGGTTTGGCTGACTGTTTCATGCCGAAGTTTAGTATATCGTTTGGTTAGATTTTCATGGAGCAAAACAACTCAGAGCAGTTAGACAAAGGTTAGATTGGATGAACATTTTGTAATACGGATGTTTTGGAGTAATGGAGTTTTAATTTTTGATTTTCACATTCTTGTTTTTTCCATTGAAAAAGGAGGAGATGAAACAAACTCACTTCAGTGTATCTAGGAAGCAATCTACTTGGGATGCTTTGCTGATCCCTTTCCAAGCACTCCAAAATCCCAACCTTACTTACCTTTCTCGTACCAGGGTAGATAGAAAGGACAAGATACATTGACAATCGCTCCTGGATTCCCATCCGGCCAGCATGCATACATATCAAATGTCCTGTTGCAAAAGAGACCTGCAAGGCACAGAGGCAAGATTGGTTGGGTAGGATGACCGTGATTTAACTTGGAATAGGACAGTGATGGCGAACCTATGGCATGCGTGCCACAGAGCTCAGCTCTGGCACGCATGAGCGCATTGGCCAGCTGATTTTGGGCCTTCTGGGCCCACCAGAAGTAGGGAAACAGGGTTTTCTGCCTCCAGAGGGCCTGGGGAGGGGGCATTTTTCTTTCTCACCTGGCTCCAGATCCTCTCTATGCATCTGAGGAGGGCAAAAACAGCCTTCCCCACTCCCTCGGAGGCCCTCCAGAGGCCTGAAACGGCCCATTTCCCAACTCCCGGTAGGACAGGAAGTGACTTTTTTGCTGTCGCCAGCCTCCAGAGCCTCTCTAGGGTTGTGCATGCATGTGCAGGGTGAAGCGCATAGAATTATGGCTGTGGACACGTGCGCGAGCCTCCCCCGCCCCCCCTCCTGGCACGTGATGGCAAAAAGGTTAGCCATCACTGGTATAGGACTAGAATACCCACATGCATCTAAGGATTGACAGTCAACCGTATTGATACCATGAAACTCTCTACCTTTATTCATTCAACTATTCATTCTTTCCTGGCCTAAACTGTATACCATGGACAGGCTGTGCAACCGACTGAGAAGTGCTGAATCATATAAAACAGAGACATCACTACCGTGTTTCCCTGAAAATGAGACCTAACCAGAAAATAAGCCCTAACATGATTTTTCAGGATGCTCGTAATGTAAGCCTTACCCCCCAAAATAAGCCCCAGTTAAGCTCATCAGCCAGATGGATGCATTTAGTACCGCATTTCCCTGAAAATAAGACCTAACCAGAAAATAAGCCCTAATGCATCTTTTGGAGCAAAAATTAATATAAGTCCCAATCTTATTTTTGGGGAAACACGGGTAGAAGCCAAAATCACAAGACTGAGTCTGCTTTACTTTAGCCATGTCATACATGCAAATTCATTGGAGAAGTCAATGGAGAGCCTTGGTGGTGCAGTGGACTAAGTGCTGTTATGTAGCACTTAGCTGCCAGCTGCCTGCAATTAGTGCGAGTTCAAACCTCACCAGGCTCAAGGTTGACTCAGCCTTCCATTTTTCCGAGGTAGGTAAATTGAGGACCCGGATTGTGGGGGCAATAAGCTGACTTTGTAGAAACACCACATGGGGGGGGGGGGGCAAAAGCCCTAATAAGCAGGTATATACAAAAGAATGAAGGCTATTGCTATAAGTGCATTGTAAGCCGCCTTGAGTCTTCAGAGGAGGGCGGCATATAAATTGAACTAATAAAATAAATAAATAAATAAATAAATAAATGGTAGGAACAGTTAGTGGAACAAGAAGATGGGGCAAGCAAAGAACATGTCTTTTTTTATTATTGAAAAGTTTTACAAAGAAAATTCCCCCCCCCCCACATCCCACCCTCCCCCCCAGATTTCCCAGAGCAAAATACAGGGTATTTCAATTAACAATCATAAGCTAAATTAGCCTAACAATTCTTAAACTACCAAATCCCCCCCCTGAAACCTTAACTCCACTATGGATAACATAATACTTCTAAAGTTTAACATTCATTCATAAGCTATTTGATATTTTCTTGTCTGATACTTATTTTGAATATAATCAATCCATCTTCTCCAGTCCGATATATATCTTTCTTGTGTATAGTCCTTCAAATACGCTGAAATTTTCGCCATTTCTGCTAAGTTCGTTACTTTCAGTGTCCACTCATCAATAGTGATACAAAGATGAACATCCAACAACTGAAAGAAGCTGTGTTTGATAGAGTAGCATAGAGAGCACTTGCCTATAAAGTCGCCAAGACACGACTGAATGGTTAAAACAAACATCCATCCATCCATCCATCCATCCATCCATCCATCCATTCCTCTAGGTATGTCTAGTCTAATGAAGAGAATGACTAAGGTTGATATGATAGCAATCTTCCAATGCTTGAGGGGCTATCACAGACAAGAAGTCAACCTATTCTCCAAAGCACCTGAGGGCAGGACAAGAAGTAGTGGGTGAAAGAGAGATCCAACCTAGAACTAAGGAGAAATTTCCTGATATGAGAACAATTAATAATTGCAATAGCTTGCCTCCCAAAGTTATGGGTGCTCCATCATTGGAGGTTTTCAAGAAGTGATTGGACAGCCATTTGTCTAAAATAAAGGGTCTCCTGCTTGGGCAGGGGGGTTGAACCAGAAGGGGGTTAAACGGTTGCAGGAACTGGGTATGTCTAGTTTAATGAAAAGAAGGATGTGGAGACTCTAGAAAGAATGCAAAGAAGAGCAACTAAGAGGATTAGGGGACTGGAGGCTAAAACATATGAAGAACGGTTGCAGGAACTGGGCATGGCTAGTTTGATGAAAAGAAGGACTAGGGGAGACATGATAGCAGTCTTCCAATATCTCAGGGGCTGCCACAAAGAAGAGGGAGTCAAGCTATTCTCCAAAGCACCTGAGGGCAGGACAAGAAGCAATGGGTGGAAACTAATCCAGGAGAGAAGCAGCATAGAACTAAGGAGAAATTTCCTGACAGTGAGAACAATTAATCAGTGGAACAACTTGCCTCCAGAAGTTGTGGATGCTCCAACACTGGAAGTTTTTAAGAAGAGGTTGGATAACCGTTTGTCTGAAGTGGTGTAGGGTTTCCTGCCTAAGCAGGGGGTTGGACTAGAAGACCTCCAAGGTCCCTTCCAACTCTGTTATTCTGTTCTGTTCCGTTCCGCTCCACTCTCCATTCCATTCCATTCCTTTCTATTCTGTTCTGTTCTATTCTATTCTAAGGCCTCCAAGGTCCCTTCCAACTCTGTTATTCTGTAATTTTACCCCCAAGACACCATTGTTACTATGACCAACAATTCACCAAAGACGCAGACACTCACCTGAAGGATAAGGATCATTTGCCATCTTCTTCATACATTCATCTTTATATCTCAACCACTGGTCAAATGTCTTCTCTAGAATCTTCGCACTGCAACTCTGCATAAAATGACACCTTTGTTAGACTTGTCAGAAGCACAACATTCAGAGCATAACTATCCGTATCTAGGTTCTACCCACTCTGCTTCCTTGATGCTGTCTAAGTCCTTGTGATTCTGGTTTTCTGGAGCAACGATGAGCAAAGATCTAGAAACTGGCATTTTTGCTCTAAAGCGGGGGTATCCAACCTTGGCAACGTTACGTCCTGTGGACCTCCAATTTCTAGAATTCCCCAATAGGTCACAATTCATTCAATGGTTGGCTTCCTCTGAGTGAGGACAAGTCTTGTCACATAATGTACAGTAGTGGCCAAAATTGTGGAAACCTTTTGGGAAAAGTGTTATTTTTTAAAAAAATTTGATTTATATGCCGTCCTTCTCCGGAGATTCAGGGTGGCTTACAATGCGCTAAGCAATAGCCTTCATACTTTTGTTTATTTTATACAAAGTCAGCTTATTGCCCCCACAAACTGGGTCCTCAATTTACCTACCTTAGAAAGGATGGAAGGCTGAGTCAACCTTGAGCCTGGGGAGATTCAAACTTGCAATAATTGCAGGCAGCTGAATGTTAATAACAGGCTATTAGTCTGCTGCGCCACCAGGCTCCATTTTTGAGATTTGATGGCTAATAACACTTTTTTTTTTTTTTTGAGTTTCAAGATAATCCTATTCCACTGCTGGAATGCCCTGGGAATAGCCCAGACCTTCACCCAGTTGAAAATCTATGGAGCTGACTAAGGAAACTTTTTTGTCAGAGGTGACTCAGCAATAAAACCCAGTTAATAGAAGCCATCCTCCAATCTTGGTTTCACATTAGAACAGCTGCAGAACTCAAAGACTTGGTTCACTCCATGGGAAGACGTTGTAAGGCTGTAATTCATGCTAAAGGTTCCCCAACTAAGGATTAACTGACATGGGGATCATTTTTGTATATCTCTTTTTTTCTATGGTGATCATTTTTGTATATCTCGATTTTTCTACGTGTTTCACTTTTCTTCTTTATACCGTAACTGCTATTCTAATAGCAAATCCTTCCTAAAAGTGATTGCATTACATTCTTGATTAAATTATCTTTCCTTTCATATATACTTTTATGGTACTACTCCCAAAAAAAGTGGTATTAGCTAGTTTTAGAAAATACACTTTTCCCAAAAGGTATTCCCAAAATTTCCATAATTTTGGCCACTACTGTACTCTGTTCATTTTACTCATGTCCATGATGTGCCTCCAGGCTGATTTCTGTACTGATAGATAAGACAGTGTTTCTTAGACAAGGGGAAGGAGGTGCCCACTCAACACCCCCAATTTAACCATGTGTGAATGGAGACCAACTTTTTTCTTCTTTTGGGAGAAGGACTAAAATCCTCAGCCGGGATTTAGAATTAAGGAGGAAGATCTCCACTTGCTTCTAAAATGGTTCCTATTACTGTAGGTGACTTACGGTATCTCCTCTCAGTCTCTTTTGTTTTAATCCGTTGACCAAGATCCTAGCCCTGATGAAGTCTAGACCCGTGTTGTTTTCCATTAAACAACATTACAGGTGTACTATTGAGCAACTTATTTTTCTTCAATGAAAAACAGTTCCGTTGGAAAAGTCATCCAAGAAACTCCTTCCAACCCCCAGGTACGCTTTCTGCCCAATAAAGATAAAGGTAAAGGTTCCCCTCGCACATATGTGCTAGCCGTTCCTGACTCTAGGAGGCGGTGCTCATCTCCATTTCAAAGCCAGAGAGCCAGAGCTGTCCGAAGACATCTCCGTGGTCATATGGCCGGCATGACTAAATGCCAGAGGTGCATGGAATGCTGTTTCCTTCCCACCAAAGGTGGTCCCTATTTTTCTACTTGCATTTCTTACCTACTTTCAAACTGCTAGGTTGGCAGAAGCTGAGACAAGTAGCGGGAGCTCACCCCGTTATGCAGCACGAGGGATTCGAACCACTGAACTGTCGACCTTCTGATCGACAAGCTCAGCGTCTTAGCCACCGTGCCACTGCGTCCTCCCTTCTGCCCAATAGATACCATTAAATTTCACTTCTCCCCAGCTGAATTCTACCTCCTTTCACAACATATTCCAAGAGGTTTAAGAGCTCAGTCAATTGTGAGCAGGATAATCCTGATGCATCCAGGAGAATTCTGTAGGAGAAGA